CTTTAGTCTTTACCACAAAGGAAGGTCAGTGTCTTTCCCTCATTATCCAATCATTGTTGATTATGCTTTTCTTTACAAAAATAAAAACATGCTTGCCATCTTCCTGTTTCCTGTCCAATCTGTGATAAATTTGTGCACCGGCATTTATAAGCATGCCCACTAATTAATTATAACCATCTGATATTCTTTCCACTAACTCAAATGATAAACAGAGAAAATATGAACGGAAGGAAGAAGATATTCATATAACACTTAAAAATCATTGACCTCAAATCAACATATTTGTGGTTCAAACCAGCTAAACTACCGGTGACAAAGTATAAGATTCCTGGTAATGCCATTAACAGATATCAGCAGGGCGTGAGAGAAGAGTGATAAGTGAATTAAAAGATTAAGTCAGTAACAGTAAAATATTTGACTTTTGTCTTGGTTATATTATACAACCCCAGAGAAAGACCAAACAGAAGACCCCACAAGAGTGTAACCAATGAATAAGGACATGTGTGCTTATGAGCATGGATTAAAAAACCGGTCATTGTCTACCTCAACCACACCCTTGTTGATGATGAGACATCATGTACAAATTGGAGATCCTGATTTAATTTGGTCATGACGTTGATGTTTGTGAGCCATGGGTGGGATCTGACTATTGAAATAGACTTAAGGATTAATATACAGAGATGAAACAACAACGAAACATGGCTGATTACAATAAGACAGATTTTTTTTTATACCGAAAAATGAAGCAGATTTTTTATTTTTAATTGCAGAAAGTTGAGTGCGCCCGTGCGTAAGAAAATCCACAATTTGCTTTTATGGTGTTCACTATTGATAAGTCAGTGCATAGACGCAATACGAGCAATTCCATTTCACAGCCAAACCAGTGAAGGCTATGTATTATCAACTTCTCACATAAAATCAATTTCTTGAGGGTCAACACAAAAAATCCTTTTGTTTTTGATTTGAGGTCCTACCTACTGAGTTGATATTAAATCTTCCTCTACCCTTCATATTGGCATCTCTGTGAAAAGCAGATGTTGGAAAATGTATTAGCAGGGCAGTGTTTAACTCTAAATTGACTTTGCTATTAATAAACTTTTTTCTCTATCTTTTTCATGCAATTTCCTATGGTGCCCCACATGTTATGCCCAACGGGTCATCTTGCTTTTGTCATCTTTGTATAATGTGTGCGTGCGTGCGTCGTTTTCCTTGTGCTAGAAAAGAGGAAATGGAGAATGTTAGGTCATGCTTAACAGTTGTACTCCTTGTAACAAGCTTCTTTTTTTTAAATTTACTTTGCAGAATTTGACATTTTGTGCAGAAATGGGTTCTGATTAGGACATGGACGAAATGAAACCAATCTGTCACTAGCAGCTGCAAATAAATTAACCAACACATCACATCCTCGATTAAAAAAAAAAAGGTTTGTGGTTTAAATTAGACTAGCTACTATAAATATATCATGCACAGTAAATGAAATTCATTGAATGAAAGTAATTCTTGCAGCAGATAACAGTTACCGAATTTAGCATATCTGCCTTTGATTACCAGTATCTCAGGTTATATATGTATGTATGTATAGAGACACTCACAGTCACCAACACATATTATATATATTGGCTGATGCTGTACTGCTTACTGGACCTTGTATTCCTGTAAAGATAGCGCACACTCTTTTCTAAGGAAGTAACTTCTGGAAAATACGTTTTCATCTTATTTGGAGCTTTTGTCAATTTTTGCATAAATCTTTGTTTTCGACACAGAAAGCAAAAGTAACAGCGTACTCACGTGGCAACAAGACATGTATATATATGCATATATCTGATGACACTGAGAAGGAATCTGATAAAGAATTTAACATCCATCACAGAAACACTAAGATACCAGATGGTATATATTCTCTGCTAGCCATTATCTTTTTTCCACGAGTATGTCAGCAAATTCTTTACTATGCATGGAGAAATACTAACCCATTCCTTTCGAGATTTTTTATGCGAAGTTTTCCCGCCTTTCTTTCGTCGTCTTCTTCTTTTCTTTGGCCAAATACAATGGAAAGTTAATCAAAGACGAAATGAACATTCGAAAAAGTTGACGAACTTTTTGGAGGTCCAAGTATGAAACAAGATTTACGGTTCGGTTAAAGGCTGAGATTGTATTCTTTTCTTATTTTTCTTTTTCATTGTCAATATACATATACACCTCCGCAGCATCGTGATGATCTTAAGCTTTGGAATCACATTATTAAACATTCCACCTTCCCTGACTGTTGTTAACATAAAGATGATAAAAAGCACTCCCACCATCAGACATTTTTAATTGAGATTTGACAATCTCCACATATCAGACATTTTGACCAAAATAATATTTGATTAACGATACCTTCATAATTTTATTATTCTCATATATTTCCTTTTTTAATATTTTTTTATAAATAAAATATTAAATGAAATGCATGTTTGAAAATTTATATTTTTATTTTGAAAAGGTAAAATTATAAAGTGTATTTAATAAGTTTTATTAATATATGTGATTTTATTTAAAAATATTTTATAAATTAGGAAGAGGTAATAATACTGAATTAATTGCAGATTTCGTGGTTAAGGATTGATGCAAATCGAAACATCAATAATACAATAATGCAAGACTCTTTGTCTATGTTTTGCAGCTTTGTTACACAATATATAAACTGATTAATTATGCTCATAATTTTATTACTGAAAATATATTTTCAAAAGACTTGTTTAAAACTAATCACCAGCGTGTTGACTTCAATATTCTGTTGCTGTAGGTTATTGATAGGAACGTGCTAAATTTTTTTTTTTTTTAAATTGTTCAATTTAATTTTGCTACAGCAATCCGCCAGGGGAAGTATCAAACAAAATCTGGTAAAAACAGCCAATTACAATGAAGGTCAACACTTGGAAGTTGATCAATCTATAAATGAAGAAATAAATTGGTTGGAATTTATTTCTAAAATCAGGCAAAGGAAAATAGTTATTAAAGCAAAGAAAAAACATAATTTTGGTTGCCTGCACTTTTCTCATATTTTATTATTGATCTTTATATTTTTTTTTAATATTTTAAGTTCTTATACTTTTATTTTTTTAAAGATTTAGGTCTTTACAAGATCTTTACACTTTGTTCATTGAAAGGCCTAAAATATTAAAAGGTGAAAATGTAGGAACTTAAAACATAAAAAAAAAAGTGTAGGAATTAATAACAAAAAATGAACAAAGTGTAAAGGTTTAAAATTATATTTTTTCTAAAATAAATCTAGACTCTTTATTTCACCCTCCCCTCTCTTTGGCATCACACAGAATAATATTACAAAATATTACATCTATATAATATAAAAATTCTAATAAATTATACTATCCATGAACTATGCGGAGCGTGACTCATCGATCTCTTCAGAAATACAACATACACAGGAACCACACCAGTTGAAAGGTTCTGATTCTATCATTGAGAGCATTTAAAGGATAGCATCAGAGAGATCTGTGTATATAGTAGAGTTCCAAATAAAATCCTAATAAAAAAAAGCATTTTATTATGCAATTTCTGGTAATGGGCAAACTTTATATTTGTATTGGTAAGTTAAATCATTAATTACGTAGTAATTGACAAGTTGCCTAACTTCAAGGGAACGGCAAGATATCCTCTAATCTTATCTCACTTATCTTAAAGGACACAAGCTGGTGGTATATAGGCATATCCATAGAATTTTGTTGGAGAATGTTTCATCAACTGGGGATGGAGAAGTCAATAAAAATGTCGGTCATTAATGAAATCAAATTGATCTGAATCAAAAGAGGGATACGTAATCCACATACACGCGTCGTTTCCCACAAACGGAAGAGATGCCTAAGAAATATATACAGACCTTATTGTTTGTTTGTTGTCCATGAATAAAACAAGCATAAATTTAATGGAATATCAATGGAACCATATCCCTCTTGTTATAATTGAGTGTAAAGCTATTAGCAGTAAACCATCAAAGAAGCTAGGCGACTGATCTGTTTAATTTATTCCCTGGAATAACATTGATTGTTTCACACTTCTTTCGGGGATTCGCACGAGCCTGAATTGCTAGCTAGCATGCGTTTGTAACTAAGAACAATTAATATGGTAATTACTTGCCATCAAACTAATTAATCGTGTTGAAGAGGAGACAACTGAGAAGAAAGAACTTTTAACTTCTGCGGCGAGGGAAAAAAGGAGCTATTTGGAAACGAGTACAAATTAACGCCATGTGAGTGAGCATTTTTTCTCGTTGTCTTTGCCCCCACCGTGACATCTTCTTTGATTAGCTGATGATATTATTCCTTCTGGAAGCAAAGTCCAGAATTCAGTGGATGAAATCGCTTCTCGTCCTTGTACCACCTTCACATCGTAACTTCAATTTGTTTAATTGTGTACGGGTGTCTTTTTATTGAAAAACGCAGTCCTGTTACAAGTCGAAAATGCAGACACCTCTTCGACCTGAGATTCGAACTTGGCTTGCCATGAGGGACTACATATATTATTATCAGATCAACTATGAAATATGTTACTTATTGGCCATTGAATTTGGCAAACAAACTATCGAGTTTAATTATATTGAACAAACAGACTGAATTGATGTGAAGCCAAAATGTGAGTGTGAGTGTGTCCACTTGGAATGAATTTAAGAGAGTGTTTGAAGACTGTCAGTGTCAAGCTGCAGAGTACTCCAGCCAATGAGAGGGTAGGTGTGTTGTAGTAGTATTAATGCATTAGGTGCGTGGATATCGTTAATTTTAAAAAAGGGAAAAAGAAAAAGAAAATGTTATGTGGGGATGAAAAGAAAACAAAGATTTGCCATGTATTTCAGTCCAAGAAAATTGCTTTTTGACACATTTTAGGATGATTCTGCCACCTGTATGTCCCCACTTTTTTGCTCTGAAATCTCCACCGTTCATGCCTCACTCGCTTCCTCTATTTATTTACTCCCCATTTCCTCCCCCTCTCAAGCAAATCACTCGCTTCTCTCTGGCATTCTTCCCCAGTCAACACCTTTCCTCTGTCTGCATTTCACTCATAAGGTCTTACAACTTCGCTCTTCCTCATCGCCAATGGCTTGCTTGGAGCTCTGTAAAGAGGTCAGTTCATTTCTCTGGAAAATATATTCTGATCTCCTCTCTCTGTGTCTCTAAGCGCCACCATTAATTCCGGCTGCTTCAGAGACCAAAAGCCTCGTCATTTTTTTTATTCTCAGTGTGTGTGTGTACAATCAGTTGACGCCCAGTGCATTGATTGTTTTAATGTGAAAAACTTTGTGCAGAGCAAGTACAAGGAAGAACCAGAAGGGTTAACTCTTGATGGAAGTTTTGATTGGCATGGCCGCCCTGCTATCAGAGACAAATCCGGAAGATGGTTTGCCGGAATTATCATACTCTGTAAGCGCCCTCCCAACACGATTTCATGACCCCCCCCCCACACACACACACCAGTTTGAATTAAGTTTCATCTGCCACAACCATGAAGTCGCATGCCGTGGAGATCTCCAGAGAACCTGGGCTATGTTCACGTTCTCATGTTAGAACTATATTTTAACTGAAAGGCGGAGATTGCATGCACATGCGACTCGTATAGTTTATGGTGAGAGAGTGAGGAGGTGGGCGCGCGAATAGAAGTTTCAGGAATCTCTGTGTGTCGAGAAGAGGTGAAGAATGACACAGAGAGAGAGAGAGAGAGGGAGAGAGAGAGCTTATCGATGTCCCATGAGCTGCTCTCGGGTGCTCATATCAGTTACTTGGAAGTATAAAATTGAATTCAAACGAACGGCATCAGCAACGTGTTTGCCTTTGCGTATAGAAACATCACAACTCCGATCTAATTCACATTATCTTTTTCCTGTATTTATGCATTTGCATGTTGAGAGGTCACTTTGAGAAGGAATGAGGATTCTGGAAGGAGCTTCGCTAGAAAACAATTCAGGAATTAGGATCGCCGTCAGGGACCCCCGTCCCCGGGGACTGTGGGAACTAAGAGCCTGACACGTAATCATTACACGCAAGTTTGCATGGGCTCGCTCCCTGCCACGTGTCGCCGATTAGGTTAATTAATATCTGATTTTACCATTTTTTTGGGGATCGGATCTGCTGCCGTAAATGAATATATAAGAGTTAAAAAGAGTTACGAGGCAAATTAAACTTGTGAAGCTTTTTCGTTTCGTTTCGTGTTTGCTGAGACGAGGGCGCCGGCAACAAACATGCGTTGCATGAAAGTGTAAAATCTTTGATTTCGTATGTCATACTCACCTGCGTGCCTTTCTTATTACTATATACAAAATACATCTTATCACCGAGACTGTTCCCCCAACCCCCCTTTCTTTTTTTGGCGTTTCAAATTGCTTGCTTGCTTGCTTTAATTTCGTTTATTTATTTTATATAATACTATTTTTTTTTTGTGTGTAGAAAATAAGCCTTTCGATTATATTTGCGAGTGGGTGTACACACACACTCTCTCTTCGGCTTGATAACTTCTTTAGAGTTTAAACGGAAAGAAAATATAGAAGATACAAATAAAGCAACGCCATGCTGCAATGAAAGCAATTTGTAGAGGTTAATGTGTAATGACATGAAAATCACTTTCAAAAAGAATTAATATAGTATAGAATAATACGCTTCATAAATTTGGTCTTCATAAATTAAATTGATTTCCTATTTAAAGCTCTTTTTCTATTAAATTTTGGATATAAATTAAGGCCTCAGCTTAAACTTTTCCAGCAAGTACCTGACCTACGGAATATTTGTTATACTTTTGTAGTATTGAAATGATAAATTGAAACACAAGAAAGCGATCTAATGGCCAACGGAGACAGCCGTTCGTCTTTCCCTTAATTAGATGCCAGATATTAATTACGTTACTGCTATTACGAGTCAGTATATTATGTTATCTATTACTTAATTGATAAAGTACATATATGCTTTTTCTTCACGCACCCTGATTAATAGCCATGGGCGAACTGCGCTAATGATTTGTTATGACCACGTGATGATCTCGAGTTCCTGGCCAAACTTGTTGCCATATTTAGAATAGAAGTGTCTAATTTCTCTTTCGAATTACGTATAGATGCGAAGTAGGTTGGCGCCAGAAGCGAGCATGTGAGCGTATTTAACACGTGGTCCACAATAACACAAGAAAGTGTAATTAATTAGGAAATCCGCCTTCAAATGACTTGAGTTTAGTAACTAAGATGTGATTAATTAATGTAATAATCAAGACTTCTGATTGTCGTGTGTCTGTTCATTTGTGATCATCAGTGAACCAAGGTCTGGCAACCCTAGCATTTTTCGGGATCGGAGTGAACTTGGTGCTGTTCCTGACTCGCGTGTTAGGCCAAAACAACGCTGACGCCGCTAACAATGTTAGCAAGTGGACCGGAACGGTTTACATCTTCTCTCTCGTCGGTGCTTTCCTCAGTGATTCTTATTGGGGCAGATACAAAACTTGTGCCGTCTTCCAGGTCATCTTCGTCATTGTAAGTAACCTTATTCTTGTTTTTATTAAATTAATTAAATTACCTGAGTGATCTGAAAGCGAATTAAGGTTTGGCATTTGATGCTATATAACAGGGTCTGGTATCGCTGTCGCTGTCGTCGTACGCTTTCTTGATCAGACCCCAAGGCTGTGGGAATGAAGCACTTGAATGTGGGAAGCATTCGAAGTTAGAGATGGGCATGTTTTACCTCTCCATCTACCTCGTTGCCTTAGGGAATGGAGGGTATCAACCAAACATTGCTACGTTTGGGGCTGATCAGTTCGATGCAGAGCACTCCAAGGAAGGCCATTCCAAGGTGGCCTTCTTCAGCTACTTCTATCTTGCCCTGAACCTGGGTTCTCTCTTCTCAAACACCATTCTCGTCTACTTCGAGGATGAAGGAATGTGGGCTCTTGGCTTTTGGGTGTCTGCCGGCTCCGCCTTCACCGCCCTCGTCTTGTTCCTCCTAGGGACCCCTAGATACAGGCACTTCAAAGCCAGTGGAAATCCTCTTTCCAGGTTCTGCCAAGTCCTTTTCGCTGCATCCAACAAATGGAGGGCTCAAATGCCACCCAATGAAGAGGAATTGTTTGACGGGGATGCTAAGGAATCTTCCGCCACAAGCAACAGAAAGATTCTTTATACCCATGGTTTAAGTAAGTGCTTGATCCTGTTTGGATAGAGAAATTCTTATGAAAATTTACTCATGGAGTGTTTCGATAGTGGTCAGATTCATTGATGCACGTCACACACTCTCCAAAGAGAAACTAGAAGGTTATGATTTCCAGACAAACAAGACAAATTATGATACTGGTAACCAAGTCGTCGAACTGAGCGAGTATTTTTTTGATTGTAGGTTCTTGGATCGAGCAGCATATATATCATCTCGAGATTTAGATGACCAAAAACGAGGGGTTTACAGCCCTTGGCGTCTCTGCCCAATTAGTCAAGTTGAAGAAGTGAAGTGCATTCTAAGGCTTCTTCCAATTTGGCTGTGCACCATAATATACTCGGTGGTTTTCACACAGATGGCTTCTCTGTTCGTGGAGCAAGGTGCCGCCATGAAAACCACAATTTCCAATTTCCGAATCCCACCAGCGAGCATGTCCAGCTTTGACATCCTCAGTGTGGCTATTTTCATATTCCTTTACCGTAGAGTTCTCGATCCACTCGCGGGGAGGCTTAAAAAGACAAACTCAAAGGGACTTACAGAGCTTCAGAGAATGGGAATTGGCCTCGTGATAGCAATTATGGCTATGGTCTCCGCCGGAATAGTCGAGTGCTATCGGCTTAAGTACGCAAAGCAGGGCAGCACCAGCTCTCTGAGCATCTTCTGGCAAATACCACAGTATGCTTTCATAGGAGCTTCAGAAGTGTTTATGTATGTGGGGCAGTTAGAGTTCTTCAATGCTCAGACACCAGATGGGTTAAAGAGCTTTGGAAGTGCACTGTGCATGACATCCATCTCTCTTGGAAACTACGTGAGCAGCTTGCTGGTGAGCATGGTTATGAAGATTTCAACTGAAGATCACATGCCGGGGTGGATACCTGGAAACCTCAACAAGGGCCACTTGGATAGGTTTTACTTCCTCTTGGCTGCCTTGACGTCCGTAGACTTGTTGGTCTATATTGCCTCTGCAAAGTGGTACAAGTGTATACAGCTGGAAGGGAAATGTGGCGAGAATGATGAACCAGGCAGCCTCAGGGTCTAACTTCAAAGGAGAACAGATACAGTGGCAACATATATAAATAAGAGGAAGAATGGAGCCTCTAGTCACAACATCATCGGTTATATATAGTACCAACTGTTCTAAAGAAAATTTCTCTGGTTTGGTAAGAGAAGCCCTTTTTCCCCGAGCCTCTTCAATACTATATCATACCATTCTTAGGACCCTAACTGTATTTTCAGTTTATCTTCTCGGTGCTGGTTTGTGTATTTGGGTTAAACCATACTCTGAAGAGGCAATGACTGCTTTAGGGTCTCTTTTAAACTTCCCCTCTTCCTCGTCTGTTTGTTCCCTCACAGAAATGGATTATATGATATGTTCAAGTGATTTCCAAGTCTAAAATGGTTTTCATTTCTTTGCTGAGCTTAGTACGCTGGAGCAAAAATTCTAAAATAAACTGAGAAGTCACGAAAGATATAGAAATCAATATTAAGCATGTTGAACACACTTCTTGATAAGATTTATATCTGACAAGTTCGCACATTTACATGTACTCATGATGAACTTACATTACAAAATTTCCATATAACGAGTTTATTTAAAATTTTCTCGTCCTCGAGAGCTCCTACAAATTGATTTCTTTTTTCTTCCTTTGTTTTTTCCCCGGTAGGGTCCTACAAATTGAATTTAATTCAGCTATTGGAAGCAGGCATCCCATTGCCAAGAAAAACCCGAGCTGACGGACTAGAACGTTAAGCTTACAGTCATGTTGACAATATAACAGCACTAACACCAAAATTAAAAAAAAAAAAAAAAAACTGTGCAAGAAAATTTTAACAAATTGCATTGAAGGGTGCCGTCCGCTGCGCGTTGATCAGGATTCGGCAATAGCGTAGGGGAAAAGAACAGAAACAGACAAGTGAACGATGAAGCGCACTTAAAGAAAATACGGCTCCTCAGCGGATCAAATCACAAAACTAGCATGCCACCAGAGGTTGTAGAAGCAGCTATACAAGGAACTATCAAAATGGCTTCTTTTTTCAGCGAAGGAAGAAAAAGATCAAGATGCCTTTGATTGTGTAAACAAAAATTAGACAAAGCTTTGAGTGGGCAACAGCTAAGCCCCCACTTGGATTTGAGAATGCAAACAGTATTCAATTTCGGAGTTTCAGAAATCCATAGCTATATTTCGAGGAATGACAAGAGCCAAAAAAAAAAAAGTAATGAAACATTAATAAAACTTCTCACTGTAAAATATCTTAACGAGACAAAGCTAGTTCAGAGAGGAATTTCTTCATCCTTGAACCGTACGAACTTGTATGTGGTGAGTAGATTCTTTACGCCAGATTGGTTGTGCTCCACTTTGAACAAGAGTAACATGCTGTCCCTCCTCTACAAGCCTCTTTCTCTGAAGCATGAAAAATCCTTCAGAGCCACTACCAAAGACACCATTAATGGAAGAAAGACGAGTAGAAATAACAGAGATCTTACTTACCAACAGTAGCTTGAGAGCTCTGGAGAAGGTTTCCTCTGCATCATTTGAAAATTGCATGTAGATGGGCATGACACCATGATAAAGTGCAAGCCTCTGCTTAATCCTCTCTCTGCCAAACATCAAAGCATGTTAGATCACTACATGAACATGCGAGATAATAAAGACTCAAGAAACTATAAAACGGTCGAGAAACTTAAATCTAGAAAGCCAAAGTCACTAGCTGAGACGGCCGAGCTACCAAACATCAATAATTTGCAGAAGGGGTGGGGACCATGGTTGGTGTGTCCGCGTGTGCTCTAAACAAGTTATCCTCCAGGAAATCAATGTTTTTAGATACTCAGCAAGTAGAACACAAGTATTAAATTGACCAAATTAAATAACATAAAATTATCTCCTGATGGATTCCTGATCCACAATAACTGGATGACAAAGTTCCAAGGAAGAAATATTGAAAAAGATCCATCAACAGCATCTGAAAGAACTGTCTGAGAGTAAATTAAAAAAGTAATAATGACATAAGACTTGCGCCAAGCATCTCACTCTTGTTCAACTATATCTTGCGCCAAGCACCACTAACTCTTTTTAATTGGATAAGCCGGTAGGAACACCATGTTACCTCAGTGAACATTGTCTTAAAAAAGGATCCAGTCTTCTACTTCTATCCTTTTCTCTAAGCATGTGACGAGATGTTTTATAAGTCAAATTGGGAATCAAGAATAGCGAGGTGTTTGACTGCTCCCCTGATGGTGGATTCATTGACCAAGCCCCAAAAATTTACCATTTACTTTCATCATTTAAAATTATCATTGCTTGCCCAAAAAAAAAAAGCAATAACAAACCAAGGTAAATGGCTGGTGCCTAATTAAACCTAACTTTTAAAAATAAAAATTAAAGAATCACATGCAGCTGCTACTCACTCATTTGTGAATGCAAAGATTGTCGAATGGGGCCTATAATGGCTCAAGAGAATAGCCATGGATCCTGTTCTGGTAAAAACAATTACAGGATTATTAAGGGTGTTAGACATAATTGTTGCATGGAAAGCAAACATTTCTCCCATATGGCTCTGTCAAAACAATAAAAAAAATTAATTAGATTTCAAAGGAGCAGAGATCAAAAGATAAGAAACTAAACTCTAAAACTAAATATCCAAGTTAAGAGGAAGGACTTCTTTCTAAATTTAGCGCTTACCTCGTGGGAACTTAATTGATTGGGAAGAGTGACACTGCTTCGAACGCTTGACTCTGTCCTTAGTGCCACTGTATGCATTACTTTTACAGCTTTCAGTGGATACCTGAAGAGTTGGAATTATTTCAATATAATTTCATTATAATTATCAAGAACGTATACAAATGCAAAGTTCACAGAAAGAGCAAAGCATTCTATGTAACAAAACAATAAACATTTCATCTATACATGGAAAATGGTTCTGCTTATTGACAAAATTCATTTATTAAAAAAAACCCTGAAGATATTGACTTTACCACAATGAAGAAACGAAACATAAGAATATAAACCTAGAACAAGCCAATACTTTCACCTCTCTTCGCATAAGGTAAATATATTTAATTAAATCCTTAATTTATCCCATCTTCTAAAAATCCTTAAAAGTTGACACAGAGCAAAACAAATACAAAGACTTCATCCTGTTTTAAACTGGCTCTTTTAACTGGTGGATGTACGATAACAAGGACATTCCAAAAAGTAAACTCATGTATTAAAGAAACAGCGCATTGGAATTTTCAGGTAAAGCATTCATTGAAGTTCTGTCTTCTAATCTTTTAAAGAAACCTTAACGGAAGTAAATGAAAATGAAATACTAGAAAGAACCATCCAAGAGCACGGGCTAAAACACAATTTTGGTTCCTCTGCTAGCAGTTTCAATTTCCCATTGCAGCAAATCAGTACTTTTAGTTTCCAATTTTGTACAATCGAGTCCTTTTGCTAACTTCCCATTCAACTGAGGACAGAATCTTACATACGATTTAAGAGACTTGCGAAGTTTTATGATGGTTTATTCTCAGCCAAACGTGTTTGAGCAGAGAAATAAGCATTAAATAATTCACGAAAATTACAGAGTTCTATGAACATTAAATTCATAAATCTTGTATGCCTGCTCTACTGACTTGAAAGCCATTCATGACTATGTATTATATCTTACAAGGCCACACACATTATAACATGCAGATGAGTCAGTAAAGCAAACTAACTTTCCATGTGCAGTCTCTCCGGAAAGCATGATTCCATCAGAACCTTCTCTAACTGCTATTGCAATGTCTGAAACTTCTGCTCTTGTTGGTGTAGGGTGACCAATCATGCTTTCCAGCATATTGGTGGCCACAATTACTGGCTTTTGCATACTGTGACATCTTTTAATGATGTCCTCCTGTTTGAAAGGGTCAATGGGACATAATACAGAATTTATCATACTCTCACTTTCAAGACACCAGTGAAAAGATACTCCCTCCAGTCTATAATACAAGACATTTCCTAGAGGTCTTGGTCCACAATGTAAGGCATTGAGTAATTTTTATATTTTTTTTTCCAATTATATCCTCACTTCATTTATTATTCCTTTTAAAAAGATGGTCCATTGAAATTTCAATTATCATTATTAAGCCACTCATGTAGGATATTTAACGAGGGTACAATTGGAAAAATGTACGAATTTTTAAAAGATCAAGGTTTCATTTAACTTTTTTTGAGAACCATGAAGTAGTTAGGAATGCTCTATACTAGAGGGAGTACATCGAAAAATTATTCAAATAGAACAAAATCATACTTAAGATGGAACAAATTTTGTGTCCATCATTCATGTCCCACTACCATGTTTTGGTAAAATGCTACTGATAGAAGTCATTATTGGTATATAAAAGACGGAAGAAGGATTTAAGTCAAAATACAGCAATGAAGTTAGTTGATAAGGGAGTTATTCATGCTGAATAACTACTTCTTATGTGCTGTCAGGATTTTAATATTGCAGTTTATGTTTCTTATCTTAAGAATGCTGAGTTGTCAAGTTTTAGGATGTCAGTTTGTGTGTGCTGTCAAGTTATGGTTGTAACTGCCACTTCATGGTGTTATTTAATTGTAAGTTAATTGAGGAATGGATACGAATGATTTCGGACTCTTTATTTGGAGATTCTCCCTCTTGGCTTTATCTAATTTGAATGAGATCCTTGTCCAGATTAGATAAAGATTAACTTCCCTATTTTGTTATTAAGACTTAACATTTTGGGAAACAGTTCTATCGATCCCGCTGCTCCTCCAGCAACCTCTAATTTATTAGAATCTATAGTCCAGCAACTAAATCAACTTCTTCTCGTTTGAATGTGGTGGATGAGATTTCTATAGAAATAGCAGCAGTAACATTACAGCAGCAACATATCTTAGATGATGCTGGGCAATCTTCTCGAAACAAAGGCAAACAACCCGGGAACTCATACTCTGCAGCAGATGAAGAAGACGAGAGAAACATACCTTGGTGGCTTCGAAACCCCACAAGGAGACCACATACCAAAGTTGATTTTCCAAAGTTTGATGGAGGCAACCCTAGAGGCCGGATACTTAAAGCAAAAAAGTATTTCAGATACTACCAAATTCCTGAGGATGTGAAGGTTGATGTTGCGGCCATGTACTTAGGAAGGCGGCGCATTAGATCTTTTTGCATGGGCAACTTCTGAACACTCAATAATTTATTGGGAAGATCTCGTGCGCACTCTTCAGGAGAATTTTGGTCTTGCAGAATTTCTAATGAAGAATTAAGCAATCTGGAACAGTACAAGAGTATTAGTTGGAATTTGCAAAGAGATCTACTAGAGTAAAAAATTGGCCACAACATTATTTGTTGGGGGTTTTTCTTAATGGGCTTAAAGAAGAATTACGGGCTGATGTCAAAATTCAAAAGCCCAGATCTATTTGCAAGGCATTGAGTTTAGCCTTAGAATATGAGTCCAAATTACAATATGCAAAAATTCCCAAGACTTATGGAACTTCCCAAGGCATTCGCTTGCACGTAGCAACCACGTGGCCTTCAAAAGACACTCGCACTACAGGTACAGCAGCAGTGCAATCTTAGCCAATTCCTCACTTTTTCATAGCATGCAAACACGAACTAGGATGCAAAAAAACAATTAAGACGAGATAAGGGACTCTGTTTCCGTTGCGGTGATATATTCCAGGCCATTGCTGCAAAAATGTTAATTTGACTCTCGTAGAGATCACTGAACAACCCGATGTAAAAGCAGAGAGGTCTGAAGAACTGAACTTAAAGGTGAACAAGAAGTGCATGCAGAGATATCGCTTCATGCTATTTTAGGACACCCTGCGAGTACTACTATGAAGATGGAAGGCATCCTAAATCATCATAAAGTGCTTATTTTGATTGATAGTGGTTCCACCCACAACTTTATTTCTACATTGGTGCAATATTTGCAGATTCCTACTAAACTGGTTCCTTCTTTTGGAGTTCAAATTGGCAATGGGCATGTAACTTATTGTAATAATATATGTCCTCAAGTCACCTTACGAGTTCAATCATTGGAAATTATTGAAGAATTTTTTCCCTTCTCTTTGGGTGGTGTTTATTAGTATTGGGAATCAAGTGGTTATCTTCTTTGAATACGGTTCAAGTAAATTGGCAACAGATATTCATGGTTTTCTAGGTCAATGGGAAAAGGAACAATCTCTAAGGAGTCTGCACTGGCAACCAAGCAGAAGCTAGTTTGCGTTCGATGTCTCAACAACCTATTATAGACCCAGATGCCTTCTAACAATCGTTACAAAACCTTCTTGATGAGTATGTTTCTATTTTTGATACTCCTTCGGCTCTTCCTCCTCTTCAACACAAGTTCCATTCTATTGATTTGCAACCTCAAGCTACACCACCAAATATTTGTCCATATAGATGCCTACATTACCAAAAGGATGAAATTGAACGCCAGGTGGCAAATTTATTAGCCAAGGGTTTTATACAACCCAGTGAAAGGCCGTTTGCAAGCCCTGTATTATTGGTCAAGAAGAAAGATGATTCTTGGAGATTTTACATTGACTACTGAGAATTAATAAGCTAATTATTCCTGACAAATACCCTATTCCCAATATTGATGAACTCATTGATGAGTTACATAGGGCTACTTTCTTCTCAAAGATTGATTTGCATTCTGAATATCATCAAATTAGAGTTAAACCTGAAGACATTCACAAAACCGCTTTCCAGACTCATTTAGGACATTATGAATTTACAGTCATGCCTTTTGGTCTTACTAATGCTTTGGCTACCTTTCAATCTGCTATGAATGATCTTTTTCGACCGCATCTAAGGCGTTTTATTCTTGTCTTCTTTAATGATATGCTAGTCTATAGTCCCACAATGGCTGACCATCTGGTACACCTTCGTACAGTCCTCTCAAGACTACAACAGGATGCTTATTTTGCACATAGGAAGAAATGCTCTTTTGGTCTACCTCAGATGGATTTTTTTAGGTCATGTCATCTCATTTGGAGAGGTTGCTATGGATCCTTCCAAGATACAAGCTGTGTTGGAAGGGCCTAATCTAACTAATGTTACTGAATTGCGGGGATTTCTTGGTCTTTCAAGTTATTATAGAAGATTTGTGCATCATTATGGCCAACTTGCTCATCTGTTACATGACCTCACCAAACAGGGTGCTTTTCATTGGTCTTCTTTGGCAGAGCAATCTTTTCATAAACTTAAACATGCATTAATTAATGCACCTTCTCCATTTACCAGACTTCAACAAGCCCTTCATCGTAGAATGTGATGCTTCATCTTTAGGCTTTGGTGCCATTCTTATCCAGGATACTCATCCCATTGCCTACTTCAGTAAAGGATTTACATTTTCTAATCGTGTCAAATCTACTTATGATAGAGAATTATTAGCTCTAGTATTAGCTTTGCAAAAGTGGCGTCATTATCTCCTTGGTCGCCATTTTGACATCTATACTGACCATTACAGTCTTCAATATCTAATGGATCAACAACTTTCAACTCCGGATCAGCAACGGCTTATAATGAAGTTGTTACCTTTTGATTTTACCATTAAACATAAGAGTGGCTGTAATAATAGTGGTGCTGATGCTCTTTCACACCAACCTCAACATGCTAATTTCATAGCTCTTGCTATTCCACATAGTACAGATTTTGATGACATAGAAGCATGGATTAATCAAGATCCTTCCACTCAACACATTAAGAATTCCATTCTTCAAGATACTAGTACTGTTCAACATTATGCTTTGGTCAATGGGAAGTTGTTTTATGATGGGCGTTTAGTCATTCCTGATCATCCTACTCTTAAATCCAAGTTGATGGCAGATGCTCATTCATCTCTTATAGGGGGCATGGAGGATACCTTCATACTCTCAAACGATTACAAACTCATTTCTTTTGGCCTCATATGAAGCGAGATGTCAAGCTGCATGTTCAAGATTGCTATGAGTGCCAACTTTCAAAATATCAAACTTTGTCTCCAGCAGATTACTTCAAGCCTATTCCTCCTCCACATCATATTTGGTAAGATATTTTCATGGACTTTATTGCCGGATTACCTAAGTCATGTGGAATAGATACCATATTTGTTATGGTTGACTGTTTTAGCAAATACATTCATCTTATTAGCCTCTCTCATCCTTTTACTGCCAAGTCCGTTGCTGCCATTTTTAGCCGTGAAGTAGTCCAACTTCATGGTGTCCCCACTTCCATCATTTCAGATCGAGATCCAATCTTCCTAAGTACTTTTTGGCAAGAACTCTTCCGTCTTAGTCACACTTAACTCCGAATGAGTACAGCTTATCACCCAAAAAGTGATGGACAAAGAGAGGTGGTCAATCATTGTGTCGAAACCTATTTACATTGCTTTGCACATGAACAACCAAAATTATGGAGTAAGTATCTTCCTTGGGCTGAGTACTCTTTCAATACTAGTTTTCATACTGCTATAGGCTTCAGTCCATTCGAGATTGTCTATGTTGTTCCCCTCCACCTGTTCTCCCTTATATGTCTGGTGAAACCAAAGTCGCTAATTTAGAAACTCAACATTTAGAACGAGACGCCATGTTGCAGATTATTCAGGATAACCTCCTCAAAGCTCAATCCAGAATGAAAGCTTAAGCTTATGCTCACAGACGTGATATTTGCTTTCAAGGACGGGGACTTGGTTTATCTAGGAATCCAGCCTTATCGTCAATTCAGTTTAGCAAAGAGAAAGTATGAGAAGCTGTCTCCTCGCTTCTTTGGCCCATACCAGATTGTTCGTAAGGTAGGACCTGTTGCTTATGAGTTGCTCCTACCTCGTGATGCCAAAGTTCATCCAATTTTTCATGTCTCAATGCTGCGCCCTGCTCATGGCACTCCTTCTCCTTCCACACCACCTCCTCTACCACTTTCAGACACTTGGGAGCTTCGGTTACAACCTCACAGTGTCCTTTCTCATCGCTGGATTTCATCAGGAAGCTCCAACATCCTTGAAATACTTGTCTCTTGGCTTGGCCGTCCTCAAGATGAATCAACTTGGGAGGAATATGACCTGATTTGGGACCAATTTCCTGATTTCAGCCTTGAGGACAAGGCTGTTTTTAAATGGGGGGATACTGATAGAACTCCATTATTGGTATATAAAAGACGGAAGAAGGATTTAAGTCAAAATACAGCAATGAAGTTAGTTGATGAGGGAGTTATTCATGCTGAATAACTACTTCCTATGTGCCGTCAGTATTTTAATATTGCAGTTTATGATTCTTATCTTAAGAATGCTGAGTTGTCAAGTTTTAGGATGTCAGTTTGTGTGTGCTGTCAAGTTACGGTTGCAACTGCCACTTCATGGTGTTATTTAATTGTAAGTTAATTGAGGTATGGATATGGATGATTTCTGACTCTTTATTTGGAGATTCTCCCTCTTGACTTTATCTAATTTGAACGAGATCCTTGTCCAGATTTAGATAAAGATTAACTTCCCTATTTTATTATTAAGACTTAACAGCTACATGGGTTCTTCATATCTCATTTCTAACTTGAAACTCTCAACAACACTAGTTATCCACTGAACTTGTTTGCCAACTATTTCATGGTTTTGAATTAGAACTCCCTTTTAGATTTCAGTCATTTATATGCAATACACAGATCTATAAGAGCCTAAAAGGTTTAGTAGGCTTTATCTCCCTCTACAATAAAGGAAAGGAGTTCATAATAAACCTAATAATTACAGTGAAGAACTCATTTTTCCTAGATCATGATGTTGTATTCTATAGTTTACAAGCAGCAAGAAGGGCTTTCCTCATATTCCATCCAAAAGACTAGGACTGTAATGTTGAGAAATGATGAACATTCCAGTGAAGAAGTTCACAACAGGTTATGCAATAGCTCTGTATTTAATCTAGCCAATGATAATTTTACCAACACAAATGATGAACATTATGGTTTGTAGATTATTTCAAGAAAAAATCATACTCATTATAAGTTTTAATGAAATGGCATACAGGCATAGATATGATGTTAATATATTCATCATGTTAACCTGCAATAAAGGAACATCTTCTATTGGGAGTTCAGCCCCAAGATCCCCACGAGCAACCATGGCCTATAAAGTAAATAAAAGTTAAGTTATTGAATGTTACACCAAAGATACATATAATGGTACTTTGCTCCATAATATAACACAACGTTTGACAGCTTTATCCAAAATAAGCTTTTATTGCAACTTAATTACTGACAGGAATTACAGATATGCGATATCCACATCCATAGTTGATATGACAAGTAAGAAACTTACCCCATCTGAAGCTGAAAGTATTGAATGGAGATTTGGTATTGAATCAGCACTTTCAATTTTGACAATCACATGTATATCAGCATCGCAACCTACACAAAAGGCATACAAGAATTCAGTTCATAAAGACTTTATGAAGCGAAACAATCTCAAAAAAAACAAACACACAGACACCCAAAAATAACCTAGAGACACGAGCATAGGAAGACAAAACGAAAGCTGATAACATACTTTTGAGATAGTTCTTCAACTCATGAACTACTCTAGCATCCTTTACAAATGAGACAGCATAGAAATCGACTTGATTGTCCACCCCAAACTTGATATCTTCCCAGTCTTTTTCTTTGGAGTAGATACGTATGGCAAAGAGCATATAATTGTCAAATGCATTTGCTTATCAAAAGAATCCACAAGTGAAGAACTGAATTATACCAGTTATGGAAGGAAGTGTTGCACTTTTTCCACGGACATTTAAGTGACGCCTTGATTTCAATTCTCCACCATCAATGACTTCACATTTTACCAACTCATTTGTCTTTGACTTAACAGCAAGTGACATCATTCCACCTGAAACACAAACCAAAAATCAAAAGCTCAAAACATTCAACAAGAATAAGTTAGATTTGAAGAAAACAAATAGATACAGAGAAATGGGAAAAAAATAAAAATGTTTAATTAAATTACATGGAAATCATACTCTATTTTCATAAAAGTTGGTACTAGCAAGCAGCTAATAAAGAAAATGACAAAATTTCAACTAACCTAAACCGAAAGCATTGCAGAAACAGCGGTGTGCAGATTGTACAAACGCAATGTAACTAATTGAGTCAATAAAACCTTATCCAGAGAATGGTCAATATAAATTGCTGTCCAGTATCTCAACCACATAATACATGATCCAGAAAAGAAGGGGAGGGTACTTAGTGAGAAAGGAGTTGGACACAAATTAGTGAGAAAGGAGTTGGACACAAAAGTCAGAATGTTTCCATGTTTATTGATCTGGATTAAAACACAAGAAACTAAATTACTGGAGTAGAGAGAAACGGGATTTCTATCATGCAAAACTCACGGTCTGCATCAATACATGCACAAGGTATCCAAATTTACCATCAACCAGTAGTATATCTCCAACCTCCACATCATTCACAAAATCATCATAATTTACGCTAACTGTGTCGTTTTTGCAGACCCCTCTTTTAATGGTGAAATTGAATTCTTGGCCCTCATTCAGTAAGATTGGTTGAGGAACATCCCCACTTCTAACTTCAGGACCCTGTAAAGAAAATTCATATATGAATCTGTTGTAACTTTGAAAATTTTACACTACATACAAGAAGTCAAAATCAAAAAGCATTGAGCAGATTGTGGAAAGGAAAATGTACTGTATGACATGAAAATGCTGAGCAAGAAAGTTATCCCCAAGCATTCAAGCACTACAAATATTAACATAAGCGATGTTCAATGACAATTTTAAGAGGCGAGCAATTTGGAACTTCTCTCAGTCAGGAATTTCATATTAACAGTCAAATGTTCAATTATAAGAAAATTTAAGAGTGTAAAAAATAACATTTAATTCATCAAACACCTAGATGACAATCAGCATAGAAGAGTTTGGCCACTTCTGATGGTTAAAGCAAAAAATGACGCTAGAAAGAGAAAGTTGAAATTATAAAAGAATATCACCTTGGTGTCAAGCATTATAGCTATAACCTTATCTTCAAATTGAGCATTGTATTCTTTTACCAAATCAATGGTTTTCTGGTGTGATGAATGGTCCCCATGTGACATATTTAAGCGTGCCACATTCATTCCAGCTTCAGCCAGTTTCCATATCATTTCACGTGAGCTAGTAGAAGGACCTATCGTACAAACAATCTTAGTTTTTCTGAGTGCATTTAAATTTGCCTCTGCCAGCCCTGAAGCAAAGCTACTATGCAGCTCAAATGAAGAATTTATCTGGTCCTTCCACATCAGAAAGAGAGAGCACACATATAGAATCCAAATTAGACATTGCAAAATGTACATACTGTATTTGCACATGGAAATTTGGAAGGTGCAATGTATCTTTCCAAATAAGCAACTTCGTAGAGAACATTCCGAGAATTAGAAAACATTTCCATGAATAATAGAAGTTTGTCCTCCAAGCACGAGCATCGACACTTCTCCAATTAAGGAGGAGAGAAATTCCAGAAAAAATGCCCATGCAGACCCTACTAAAGTATACATGCCCAAAATTTGTGTTGATTCAGTGCTTAATATATTTCATGAAAAATGTGTTGGCACCTGAGATTATTCTGCCTTTCTGTTCTACTAATGAGACAATTTGAAAATTAAATAAATATATAAATCTACTAGCCGGGACTATGCCACGCCAAGACTTCAAGATTGAAGCTACATCTTTGTTGAACAAGCGCGAAACAGAGACGCCCAATTTGATAAAAAGTACTCTTCAAACCGTAAATCAAATTAAAATACTGCCACTTATGTGGATGCTGTTTTAACGTGTTTAGAGTTACAAACATAACAAATACATCTCAGATGCACATTTAGTTGATTTAATGCTTTGATAGTATGAAATCGATTGCTGAGTATATGTTTGCCGCTGTTGAGACCATGCTCTGCATATGTTTGATGTTCCTCGACAATTTAGGAATGAAGGCATGTATCAGAAATATATTATCTGGTTAATTAAGTGAACTCTTGCCTGGGCTCGTTTCATTACTCAATATAAGAAACTATATATTTCACGTTCCAAGGACCTTGCCTCGCGCGTCAACAGTGCAAAACAACGCACACAGGGAATCCGAGCCAAACAACAACAAAAGCCTATATGCATAACTAGAAACAGAAGTAAACTTACAACGGTCGCGTAACCATTGGGAGACATGATATCGCTACTCTGGCTATGCTCGACAATCTTCATCGAGGGCACAGCCAAAGTTGGCAGCCGGATGCATTTTCTTCTGGATTTGGAATCAAATAAAAGCTGGCCCAGATATTTTGAAGTGCAGAGATCAGAGTTCCTAGTGGGGTCCGACTTCAACATGGAGAAACCCGAAGGAAGATTAGAGGTTGCCATCGTCGAGACTTGGGAGGTAGACAGTGAAATGGAGAGAGCGGAAATGTCAGGAAAACAGAGCCAGTCGGCGAGTATAAAGGAGCCAAGCTCCACAAGGGCCCAGTGTGCGTTCTGTGGCTAACTTGGAGAGCGAGCACTAGGACAAGACGAAATAGCGATTGCGCTTTTGGACGCATGCATCATCCTCGCGGTAATATTTGCATGGAAATGACAATAAAATTCACAAATTATATAAATGATGACATGATATCTGAAAGTTTTATAATTTTATCAAAGTGTTTAAAAAATTTTATATTAATAAATTTTAAATTAAAAAATTATTATTGATAAATTATAATTTTTTATTATTTTTAAATAAAAATTATTATTCTTTAAATAAGAATTGTCATTGAATATTGTTATTTTAAAAATTTATTTTTTAATAATAAAAAATATATTTGATAAATTATAATTTTTTATTTAAATTTTATAATTTAAAAAATAAAAGTTGTTATTTCTCAAATAAAAGTTATAATTTGAATTTGTTTTTAATAACAAAATTTACACTTAATAAGTTATAATATCTTATTCGACTCTCATAATTTATAAAATAAAAATCATTATTTTTTAAAAAAAATTATAATTGAGACTTTTTATTTTTAATAAAAGTAAAATGATATTTTTACTTTCAAAATTTATTGATAGAGAAGTCTTTAAATACTTTAATAAAGTTATGGCATTTTAAGAAATCATATTATCATTTATATAATTTAAAAAAATTATTATCATTTTCTCTATTCCTAATCTTCTTCTTCTTCTTCTTTTAAATAATATTTCTAGTCTTTTATATTTTCTTCACATATTTCCTTTTAATCAGTCGTATGAAGTGTAAAACATAATTAAATAATTTTTTAAATTTTTTGTTAAAAATAAAAGTTAGCTTGGTGGTTGAAAAAAGTGTGCTCTTACGATTTTAGGCGTACTTTTGTTTGTCACGAGCTGGTCAGGTCTCGACCTCGCCCCCAAGATGCCCTCCTTTTGCTGTACTTGTGGCGGTTAGGATTGTGGGGGAAGGCAAACCTGCAAATGGGCAAAAGCCGATATTTTTTTTCTTAATATATAAATTCCAAAGATAACCAATCATCTTGAAATGTGATTGTAATTTATCATGAATTTGAAAATACTACATTAAGCTAACTTTAAACAAATTCAATTGTAAATTACAAGAAGGACGATATTTCAGTTAAAAATATATGAGGACAAGGTTTAAATATGATAAAAGAATTATTTTCTTAGAAAGTTATATTTATAAGGAAAAATGATAAAAAAATTTATTTAAATTATTTAAATGACATATTGGTTTCACGAAATAGCATAATTTTCTTAGAGTCCCATGAGATTTTCTATCATTAAGAAATCAAATGAAATAACCAAACTGCTCTCAAATAAAATAAAAATTTCAAGCCTCAATGCAGAGTAATTGGTGCAAGTTCTTCTACTTTATCGTCGTGCCAATTTGGGGAAAGCGATCTTCATTGGGGATAGTATGGGTGCTAACATCACACACCATATGGCGATTCGAGTTGGTTTAAAAAAAACCATCAAACCTGATGCTAGAAGCTTTAATGTTGGTGTAGCCTTTTTCTGGGAGCAAGGAATGAACAGAGTTTGAACGAAATGAAGCTACCTATGCGGTGAAGTTGGATCGTCTATGGAAGTTTCTTTGTCCGAGTGCGTTAAGGGCCAATGATCCGTTGGTTAACCCGGAGAAGGATCTGAACTTGGAAAAGGTAGACTATAAGAGAGTGCTAGAATGTATTGTAGAGGAAGATTTGACGAGAGATAGGGGCTTGAATTATAGAAAATTGCTGGAGAAGAATGGATTTTCGAGAGATGTGGACGAGTGGAGATGAAAGGGAAAAATCATGTGTTCCATTTATTGAAGCTATGTTAATTAAGTCAATTTACAGAGAATGCTGATAAATTACAATTACTTGTTGCATTGTTGCAAGACAAAAGTTATTAATATAGGAACAAAAATTGTGAATTTTCAACACTTAATGCATATTAGAATCTACAGATGCAGAGATGCAAATGACTATTGAATTGTTGCGAATTTATAAACAAAAGTTATTAATATAGGAATAAAAGTTAGAAATAAAAAGTTACAAATATTCAACACCTAATGCGTATCAGGACTTGCAAATATAGAGTTGTGAATGGCTATTAAATTGTTGAAAATTTAGAAACAAAAATTGTTAATACAGGAACAAAAGTTGTAAATGAAAAGTTGAGAATTTTTAATACTTGATGCATATTAGAACCTGCAAATCAGGACTTGTGAATAGCTATTGAATTGTGACGAATTTAGAAACAAAAGTTATGAATTTTTTTAATTTGAATAAAAAGCAAAAGTGTCATTTTCCATAATTCCCTAATGACAAAAAATCTCATAGGACTCCAAATAAATTATGACATTTCTTGATACCAATATATCATTTAGATAATTTAAATGAATTTTCTATAATTTTTCCTATTTATAACCGGTCTCACAAATTTATAACTGAAATTTTGTAATTTACAATTAAATAATTCTAATGTTTGTCGGTTTGAATCTTTCACATTCATGGAAAATTACAATCAACTCTATAGAGATTTGACTTTATTTTTTTACAAATTTATAAAACTTATTTATAAATAAGTTTTCTATTTAGGACTTATACATGATTCCTTTTTTTAAAAAAATATATCTTGCATTTGATTCAATGGACTAATAATCATCGCAACTAATTCACAAAAAGTTCAAAATTGATAGTTTGAGTAGAACTCCTCTTGAGATTTGAATCTCCAACATTGGGGACAAAATTCGAGTAGTGAATTAGTTCAATGACGCAACTTCCTTTAAATAATAACTAAGGTTCTTTATATCATTGATTGCTATATGCTATTTTTATTTTAAACTTTTATTATTTAAAGTTCAATGTTGACAGAGCTTATACATTTAGATTAAAATATAAGGAACGTTTAATAGATTGTTTGAGTGGGAATAAATTTTAGAGTCGTCATTATTTAATTTTTAGATCCATAATCAATTTATTTTCCATGCCAAAATTATAGGTTTTGGCTTTTCCTCTTGTTACCAAAAACTTTGTTAATGCAAATTAAAATGGTCAGCCATTTAAAAGCGGAGAAGAAGATGATTCTGGAGCAAAAGATAGAATAATTGGCTTTGGAGATCAATAGAGCTTGCTTGAGCCTTGGAGGGTCAAGAAATCAACTAATTAGCCTTTTCACTGTCCATGCTACTAGCATTGTGTTCATTGTCGTCATTGGTCAATCTCACCATCGTTGTTGCAGTCACAACCCACACATTGGCGTTCATGGTCGTCGCGCGAGAGAGGGGAGATGAGTGCAACATTGGTTATAGGTAAGGAAACCACTTTCGTTGATCTCGAGGGAGGTTAGCTTCCTTAAAACTATGGGTCCAAGTGCCCAACAAGGAGAGAAGAAACAAGCTTCGGAGAAGCATAACAAAGATTGACGGATTAGAAATCGATTCATCTGCCATGGATGCATGATTTGTAAAGCCTTGAGCGTGTATGCATCTAAGCTCAACTATTTAGTTATCCATGCCTCATCTTCTTACGAGAGCAAGAAAGATGAAAGATGAAGAGGAAGTGTGCGTGTTGTAAACATGATTTTATGAGCCTTTTTTTTTTTTAAAAAAAAAATCCAAATGTCAACCTTTTTCAACATTTCATTAAACCTGTAGACATATGGAGATGGAGTTAAGCCATGTGGATAAATAAAAGAGACGTTAAAATAGTTTGCATAAGGATTTTTTTTAGTAGAAACTGAAAATCGATCAATAATTTGTCCAAAGAATAAAAAAACAAATGACGACTGGTTTTTCTTGTCCTCCTCCCTTTCAACTATCAAGGGGAGCATGCATAAGGTTTTAAAAATGCAGGGACTGATTTAAAATTAAATAATCACATAGTTTCCCTTTTTGCTCCCAAAAACCAAAGAAAAAAAAGTTTTCATTTTCAGTTAATCGAGACCACAATTTCGAGTTCGTTCTCCAGTTAGCTCCGAGCCCGCCGCTATTGCTCTCTCTTTCCCTCTCCAAACCGTCAGCTGATTCTCGCTTCCAACGAGAAAGATAAAATTTTCAGAAATCTGGCAGCTAATATGAAGCTCTCAATCAAGTTTCAAGATGACCCCTTGAACGACGATCAACACAGGCAAATTATGACAGCCAAGGTACCCACCACCATATTCAACCAACCTTTCGTTTCCGGTATTGTCGCCACCACTACCGACTCGGCTTCTGACTTCGCCTTCTCCCTCTCTACCAACTTCCCTTCTGGTCCATCCCTCAAGCTCTCTTACACTCCCACAGCTACCAACACCACCGCTCTTCCCCTTTCTCTTTCCCTCAAATCTGGCTTAGGTGTTTCTGGTTCTCCTCGGCACTCCCCTCTTGTATTTTCTGCCAGGTTCTCTTTATCTCCTTCATATGTCCCCGTCCCGACTTTCTTTCTCCATTTCAGACCCCAATTCGGTCACTTCTCTCTGGATAAAACCGTCTTCTCGGACCCTAACACTGATCAGATTTCTAGGTCTGCGTCTGATTGTCGAGAGCTCTCATCTCTACCGTCCCTCGATGGAAGTGAAATTGGAGGAAAACGGTTGGCGGATGGGAGTTTTTCGTCGGGCTGGCAAGAGGTAAAATTGGAACCGTCTGGGGGCAAAGATGAGGGTTCGAATTTCGCTCAGATAAATAACCGTGAGGGTCAGTCGAATGGAACAATCGGGTCTACCCCTGAGAGGATTCACGCCAATAAAAGATCCGGTGTCTCATCAGGAATTGCTATTATGGCCAGGACGGCAATGCCGGTGACGAAAGGGCTATCATTGAATTTGCGGTGGGGTTTGAATTTTCCTGGGATTATGGGATTGAAAATGCCATCCTTGACGGTAAACAAGATTAGGTTAGAGTGGGTTACGGAAGCCAAAAAGAATAAGTGGAGTGCGGATACCGCTGGCGGCGATTTGCATTTGTTAAAGGGCATGTATTCTTCGATGCAAAGAGACTTGGAGAGTGTAGAGAAGGAAAATAGGGCGATGAAGCAAATATTGGATGAGATGAAAAAGGGAGTTGCAGCGAGAAATCGTCGCGAGGAAGGTAATGGTATTGGGGAGAAATTTTCCCAGCATTCAGGTGAGAGCTCTAGCGAGTTCGAACGTTGGAGAAGCAAAAAGAATGCGAAAGAAGAGAAGGGGCAAAGAGAACCTACCAAGTTCCACAGTCTAGCGAGCGATTTGGAATCGGAATTACAGAAGGCCATAAAGGTTGCTTCCTCTTAGTAAAGGTAATTTGCCTCTCCAATTCAGGTCCTTTCTCTACCTTCAAATGTACATAAAATCCGAGATTATGTTCCCTTTATGAGGGCAAGAATTTAATGATACTTTTTAGATTTACTGATGATTTGACCAAGTTTAATCAGATTTTACTCCCTGAAGTTATTCGTGGTATGGCCGGAAAGCTGCTTTGTGTGTTTTACGTAGGCATCTGAATTTCCTATTTCTTGTGAGAAGAATGAAATACTTATAGAAATTTGAAGTTCAAGTGCTGTAGGAACTCTTGCTAATTCTTGACGAAGAGGTGATGCATCCACTGGCAGAACAAATTTTAAACTTCCAGTCTTGCAGATGTTGACGAGCAGTATGAATAGTAAAAATAATAGAAAGATGTAAATAGCAATGTTCAGTCATTTTGGATGCTTTCAAATTTTCTGTCCAATTGCTGGTGTCGAGCTAAATTTAACAGAAAATGCTTGTTTAAATTGGAATTGGTCTTTTTCCTCTGATAATTGTAGTTAGCTCTTTCACGAGGATGCTGCTTCTCTAGTACTGTTCAATATTTTGCCTAGATCTATTTTTATGTTGCAACTCAATAAAATTAGCCACTCGTATTTCTGCATAACTTTAGGCCTTAGAAAGTGAATCTGCTTGCTGCAAATTAAATCTTCTCCGTCATGATTGTGGAGGTCCTTGAATTACAAATACTTGTCAGGTTTAAGAAACCAGCCAGTTACATTATTCATAAATTTCTTGCTGCAAACTTGTATATTGATCGGGTAATCAAACCAGATTTTAGGCTGGTTAAGCTGTGCTCCAGCTATGCAGGTAGAACTAGAAATTGATATGGGTAAATTTTAGATGGATACCTTAGTCTCCAAGTATTCAGACTCTGCACAGTCTTGTGAGGGCTTTTCTCCCCTCTAATTACCATCTGCATCGTCAGAGAATTGGAGAACTACTTGTGAACTTGGACCTCCCGCTTAAGGGCGCAGCCAGAAATTTTTATGAAAAAGCATCGAGATAATAAAATATATATAATAATTAAAAAAAGTTATATATATATATATATATTACCGATATAATATAAATATTTTAACATATATATGTATATTTAATTTTATACAAATATAACAATATATATATATATATATATTAATTTGTGTTTTCGATTTTTTATGATATAAAAATTATTAATTGTTATGTTTGTGGTAATATTTTAGTAATTTTTTTTCAATATAAATTATCATTAAATTGGTAAAAATTTTATGATCTCATTAAGCATTAAATGATTTAAATGTATTATTAGAATCTAAAATACTATTTAATATAATAAGTTCTATTACTTATTTATTGAATTTACTATTTAATTCTTTTAATTGATAATTATAATAACTAAATATATTAATACAGTAATATTGTTCAATTGTCATAAAATCTTTATATCAATGACATCGAATTATATTAGAGTAAAAAATATTTATATCATAAATTTTAATAGTTTAATTATTAAAAAATTTGATTTTTTAAAAGAATATTTTCATTAAGCCTCTTATTAACTTTTGAATAAGTGATTTTATGATAAATATCAAGTATATAACATTTAACATATTTTGAAATTTTTATTACAATGCTTAACAAAATTTGTTAATAATAATTTTCATAATTTTTTTTATTAAATATAAAATAAAAATAAAATATCAATATTTCAAAAATATGTATAACATTATTTTGTGAAAAATAAATATATCTTCACGTTGGGGTATTAAACTAGTTACATTATATCATACATACATGAAAAACTGATTTCGTTCGAGGACTTGAGCTGTTCGCTATGGCTTATTCCCTCCTCTGCCCGAAGCCCCTCACTTTGTAACTACAGCAATTGGTTTCAACGGCTCAATAAAACGAAGATCAAGCCGTGCAAACTATACTTAGGCAAACCTAATCTTTTAATTGCCACATGTGATCGATCACTGTTCACTGTTCATGGGAAAGTCTGGTTAATGGATTTAAGCCCAGAACTATGTGGGGGTTTTTTTTAAAAAAAAAAAAGAATATGTGTGGGGTTTAGGGTGCGTTCGATTTTCAGTTTACTAAAAATTAATTTGATAAAAATTTATTTAACAAAATTAATTTAATAAAAGTTAGTTGTTGTCACAAAATTTGTGTTTAGATACATTTTTTTAAAAATCAGTTTGACAAATTGAAAGTTGTTTGGATTAATGAAAATTTATGTTTTTAAAATCTATTTTTTAGTATGTAATGACCAAAAAGGACATTGATTTATGATAATTTATAATTTTTATTATATAAATATAATATATTAAAAATGTTTAAAAAATTTGAAACAAATTTAAAATAACATAAAATTTAAAATGTTAAATAATAAGAATAAAAAAAATATAAATTTTAATTTTAGAAAAAAATTATATAATAAATAGTTAAACATTCATTAATATTGAATAGTTACATGATTAATGGTTTGATCTATAATATACAATCTGATCTCTAATAGAATCCCGAACCCTATTCATCTCTCTATTAAAAGCTACGCTTGAAATTGCACTTAAAATTGTTGATGAAAATGCATGCTCATCATTATTATCATTAGTGTTAACCATATTTTCATCCTCAAAATGCCTAAAGTCAGAATCAATTATAGATTTTCTTCTAAAAAAATTATGTATAGCCATTGTTACACCAACAATACGAACTTGCTGCACAAATGGATAGTTAGGCATGTGTCGTTGGATTGCATATCTATTTTTCTAAACCCCAAAAGTCCTTTCAATTGTAATACTTAAGCTTGAATGATAATAATTGAAAATTTCATTATTGTTTGCAAATCTGGATGAACGCCTGAAATCTGGGAGATGATATCTATGAGATCTATAAGAACCTAAATATCCATGTGACATTAGATAGCTGGCATTTAACAAATAATATTTACCTATCAATAAAAAAATAAAAATTATAAGATCCTAAAAAATATTTAAAAAATTATTTTAAATTAGATAAATATAAAATATACCTTAGGGTGGATGTGAAAATTTCATGTCCGACCTTGTGAGTGCATAGTCAAACAAACGAGCATCATAAGCAGTTTCTTCCCACCCAGCCATGACAAAAGTGAAGCATATATCTTAGTCATATGCGGTCATTATATTTTGTGTTGGAATACCTTTTCTTCCAATATATTTCCATTGCTCTTCAACATTGACCATACACGGGATAGGTATTCCATCATTGCTCCTATGGCATCTTTAAAAAATGGCCAATATTGTGGATCACCTAAAATTTTTGGATGAATATTTTAAAAAGTGTGATCTTTTGGTTGGATATATTCCTTTGCTAGCTTCTTACAAGCATGCAATACATTTCTAAAATGTCTATGAACAGTCTCTATTGAATGTTGAAATCGTTCTTGTGCCATCCTATTCCCTACTCTGTGTCTAATAATATTTAGGAACATATCGACCATTTCATGAATCCCTATTCTTTTGGTTGGACATAGACCATGTTGCACCAGTTTATCATAAATTTGAAGAAAAACATCTTTTTCCATACGAAACATGTCATAACAACGTTGAGGATGCCCTTGCAAAATTTTTTGCACCCATGCATGACCTGACTGCGAACTGGTTCTACAAGGCTCTTTTAATAAATTTGTTGAGTAATTAGATACTATTACAGTAACAGCCTCAACCTTATCGTCTTCCGTATGTACAAGTATTGTAATAACGAAACTGTTGTACTTTCATCCATAAAAATTGTACATACACCATTGTTTATGACTTAACATAAGAAACGCATAAAACAAGAGTCAAATAACACAGTCAGTTTCAAAACAACTTAACAACATGAACGGCACTAGCTAGATTTAAAACATTAAGAGGGCAAGCTAGGATTGATCTAATTTGCTTTTTTGCCCAAGTACTTCAAATAGGCGACTAATGCTCTTCTGTTGTCCCTAAGCCTAATATACATGTCCCTTGATGTCTTATCTAGCAAGGTCACAGCATACTGTCCAAGAAGTGCCTCATCACAAGCAATATTCTCGATTTTATAAAGTTTTTTACAACACTCACCACATTTTAATCAACTGATTTTGTACCACCTCTATGGAATTAAGAATTGACTTCAATGTTGAAACCCTATCCTCTTGTGTGGACACCAATCAACTTACTGAATCAACCATACGGTCCCAAGATGTTTTCCCTTCTTGTTTTGGACCACTTTCACATCTCTCTTTCGCTTGCTCCTTGAATTAGTACTACCACTGTATGCATTATTTAAGTTAATCTACAATTTTTGAGAGAGCCCTTCACTAATGTTTCTGACATCATCACTGTCTCCTAATCCTTCAGTCAAATCCAATTGAGGCCTATACACATCATGTGGATCATTAGCCGCAGGTGTCCACATGTAAGTGCCCCGTGTTGCAACTGGCTGGAACAATTGTATCAATTCTTGTACGTATGAAAGTGGTCTATGTTTGAATTTTTTATACTCAGGATTCTCCTACACATTTACAGGAACTGAGTCCAATATATTTATAAAATAAAATATCAAATGTATAGCATGCCATATATAATTTTATATCTTAATCTTTTGATTTCACTACTCCTCCGATGCTGAAACAATATTCTTCTCGCTATCCCATCCCAAACCAGTCTCTTTGTTCAACAGTTTTTCCTATATATTCCAATCTTTTCTCAAATTATCCCATTTGTTCTTCAACTGCTTCTTATTATAGTTTTTAGAACTCAAAGCATTGAACTATTACATTAGCACCTCCCAACCTTCTTTTGATAAGGTAGAGCCTTTGGATTCATTTTTTCTAACTTGCTAGAAAGCTAATTTAATGGACAATTCGATCTCTTCGGTAGTCCATAGTGCCTTCTCTTTACTCATTTTTACTATCAAAATATCATATTCTCAATACAAATGAAATTTGAAGAGTAAAAATTTATAATTAAGCTAGACTTAAAATATTAAAAATTTTACCATCCTTTTTTATCAATGAAAAGTCAATAATAATTGTATTTTTTTTTTATTTTTTGGAAACAAAGAGAAAAAGACTATTCAATCACGGTTAATTAGCCACTTGTTATCTTAGCCACATATACTTATTGAAAGAGGCTGTTATTCAAAAACAGCCACAATCAGATGGCTTGGTAATTTCTGGACTCACTCAAAAATTCAAATTATATGATTCAATAGTTTGTATTAAAATAAGCAAGTTTGACCAGAAATTTATAGTCTTTCTCATCCCTTCATCATTTTTCAAAAAATGAAGCTCAAATTCCTATCAAAATAAAACTGAAGAAAAAAAAAACAAAGCAAGATAGAGCAATCAACAGATCAGTCACCAGAACATATTCTCAGAACACCGTGTCATATTCCCAGAACATCAACAGATCAACAAAACAATCACAAAATACAGTCATAAATAATGATCAATCTCATCCATCTCATTACATGTTCTTGTTCTGCGCAAAAGATGGAAATCAAAAGAAGGCAATAAAAAAACCTCACACCAGTCACCAAATAGAGGCTCCATGATGGTCCAAAAAAAAAAGAAACAAATCAGATTGAAGAGCAGAATAAAGGACTACTATTTCATCTATTAATGCAAAACAGAGGACTACCATTTTCAGATCTAGAAAAAAAATGCTTGGAGGCTATTATACCTTATAGATCGAAGAAAGGGGTCGAAGTTTGATGAGCTGGTTCGAATGTTCAATTTTACACTCCACAAGTTGCAAATCTAGGTGTCTTAAGTTCTCTCAGCTCCGAAATGTTGTCCAAGTCCCAAAATGAGCTTGATCTATGAAAGAGATGAGGAGAAATTAGATGGTGAAATACGGCGACTGTCGATAAAGGAAGGAGAAGCTCAGGGAAGGAAGAGATGAGGAGCTCCAGATCTATGAGATGACGGTCAAGAGGTGGACGAGAGGCAGCCAAGCAAGATGAGAGCAGTAGCAAAGAATGAGAGACAAGTAGGCAGCTCGGGTTGCACGAACAAGAGATTAAAGAAAAAGGAGGATATCATGGTCAATAAAAATATTAGGTATTAGCCATGAATGCCTAATGCCACGAATCACGTTTCAAAAGCAACACCACAGAGCTTTTGCCTTTTTTGTTTTCAAACGTATTTGGAACCTATTTTTGAAAGCACATTCTATCTGGAAAAAAAACCCAAACAACATTTCACATCTAAAAAGTTAAAATCTACTTTTGGAATGTAAAACTGGGCATATCCAAATGCACACTTAGATTCTAGAGTTAAGGACTCAAAGTAGATTAAACTTTAGATTTTTTTAAGGATGTAAAATCGACACGCCTTGAATCATTTGTTGTTTTTGTTTAAAATTGAGCTCTAAAGAAACTCAATGATCATTTGCTTTATTATCATTGTGTTTAACTTGACGCAACCTTGTAACATTGCTAAGGAAGATGACATCTTTAAATAATTACCCACAATAAAAATAGTTTCTTTCTATTTTAAAGGAAAATGCTAATCAAATATAAACAAAAATGAAACTATTGTAGAATGTATTTTTTTATAACAAGGGATAGAACACTAAGCAGTACTACTGTCCTATTGTAGAATAATAGCTAAATCAGGAGCTGGGAAGTGTTGGCCAACCAATAAAAAAAACAAAGAGTTAGGGAGAAGACATGATGAAAACCATCAACACAAGAAATGGCTTGTTTCGCTAATGTATTAATAGCTTCATTCACATCATGCAAGATGCTATGAACTTTCACAATCTGATCATGGGTCAACAAGGCTCTAATCTTCACGATAACCTCCATATTAGGGTGAGGAGATGAATCTTTTTCAATAATCAATCCCATAGCTACAAAGAAATTAAACTTAAGGATTAACTTTTGGTATCTAAGATCCCAGGCCATTTTAAAACCCCACATGCAAGTCCAGAGTTTAATAATTAACGATTCTCCATGAGTCATATTAAACATGAAACCGACTTTGAAAGCACCATTCGAGTTCCAAATGAGGTCACCACAACCTATAATATTTTAAACCATAGAAAAAGTAGTATCTACATTTAGCTTAAGCCAATCATTCACTAATAGGATCTATATACCACTCTAAATATGACATTTTTTTACCTCCACATACAATTGAAAAGTAAGAACACCAAGCTACATCATTATTCTTTCTTGTGGACCCATATTCCATTTGAATGACCTTTATGTTCACATGCCAAGAGTTCCATCCAAAAGCTTTTCATGGTAGGATAGTCTCAGAGTATAAGGATAGTATCCTCAATAGCATCTTTTCCAATCTTGCATCGATCACCATCATTCATTCCTCGCATTTTGTGACTTGCATTAGTAAGAAGTTTGTTATGATAGGAAAGTCACAAAAAAAAAAAAAACAATTACACCATTTAGGGACTTGCAACTTTCATATTTTATGTGAACTTGAGGTTCAAAATTTGAAGATGATTGCTATTTTAATGGAAGACTATGTATATATTAAAAATAAAAAAAATAAAAAGGTATGATATTTCAAAATATATTAGTGTAATTTATTTAATTAAAATAAATTACTTAACACAATATTAAGAAAATTCAAATACTTATGACAAAATAATATATTATGATCACTTTTCTCCAAAATTACAAATAATTGTTCTTTGAAATTATAATCTAGAGTTCAAGACCACTAACAAAATAATTTCCCACAAGCCAAGGTCACGGACATAGTGACTATTGTTACATTTTTGGTCCATAATGTACTTATCCCAACAAAATCCTTTACTTTCAAGGTAAAAAAAAAAAAAAAAAAATTTCTTTTACACTAGATAAGCCGCTGAAGGAAATGAGCGGGCTAAAGAAGTAGAGGCCCGAATGAAAAAGGCGGAACTCTGGAGTGATTGCCCCAAGTCACATCGCAGTTTCAGCGTCCCACCCCTTTCTGCTAATAATGGCGACCTCAGCCCCCGGAAGTAGCAGCAGAGAAGGAACGGCCAAAGCCATGGTGGCCGATCAGATCTCTCAGGCTGTGCAGTCCACCTCCAATCTCCTCCATCTCATGCAACAGTCTTCTCCTGCCCAGGTCCCCTCTCTCTCTATATACTTTTTTTAGTTGTCCTCTGTTTACGCTTCGAATTTGATGGCTTTTAGTAGTAAATAAGCACGCAAGAGCTCATCGGATCTGGTGACGGACATATATTTTATCTGACATGTAGTTTTGTAGCGCAGAATTTGTTGCATTATCGGAATTCATTTCATTATTTCATAACTATTATATTCAGGAATTGATATCCTGATGCTCCGTAGCTACTTATAGTCAATATTTATTTGTTTCATGTGAGAAAGCATCACAATGATCACCAAGTTTCTTGCATCTGAATCATGAAAATTTTCTCGAGGTAGAAATTTGTTTGACACGGAACATTCCTGGCTCGTTTTATACAGATACATGTGTTGAGAATTGGGATACTTGTTTGAATAATAAGAAAGGTGTTTATACTAGAGCGTATTACCATGTTGGCATACGTTTTCGATGAATCAACGGTTTCCATTGGAAGAAGGGTGTCTCTGCTCATATGTATATGCTTAAAATGAGGAAGAAATGCTTCATTTGAGCGGTAAAACATTACATGAATATAACCATGGGAGAGACTGTTATAAAAAAAATTGTCATATAAATCTTCCCAGGAATGTGATTTAATATCTATTTGTTCATCGTGGTCAGGGAGTCAAGAAATTTTTTGTTAAATGTCCTTAATGTGACGCATACGAGTTACTAGACCATTCTTGTCATGTGACAACATTTAAGATTTTGTGGTATTTCTATTACAGGTGAGGCTGTCTTTTCCCCCAATCTGTCAGCACAGAGATAACACTAGCGTTAAAAATTCCGTTCTACATTTTATATCATTTCTCAACTTCAGTTTCTTGCATGCCTACTATGTTTCTTTTCTTTCTGGGGACAGAGCACTATTATTAAAAACCCATATTATGTTTTTGTGAGTTTAAGGACTTGCCAATAGAAGATTCTTACTCTGGTGAGTTTAACTTTGTGCACCAGCTTAGGATCTGATGGGCCAAAAAATATGCTAAATGCTCCAGTCAAGGAGGTTTACTGTTCGAGAACTGATGCTCTCATTACTTGGATTTCTAGAAAAGAAGCTTTTTATCATATAAACAGTTGCTGAATTTATTGCCGGGGGATGATTCAAAACTAGGGGCACCGGATATCCCCATTTTTGCACTCCCTCCTCCACATATCACATTCTAACTTCTGATCATCAGCAACCTATAATTTAGGATAGGCCAGGGTGAAAAACTAAGCCATCTAAAACAACTTAATCTGTGTTACTGTGCTTGTGACTGTTTGTACATTGTTGGCCCATGTATGTTGTTGTTTTGTATGACAATGTTACATTATTTACAGGCCCAACTCATCAAGCTTCCTAAGAACCTTTTGGCAAAGGCCTCTGCAATCAAGAATACAGAACAGGTATGCTTGTCTTCTACTGAAGGATAAGCTTGAACTGCTCTTGCAATTTACTGTAATAGTGTCATTTTTTTATATCCTTTTCTGCTTCAGGTTTTAGACCAGATGCCTGGGGTAATTTCAACTCTTGATGCCCATATGGAAAATGGACTGCGAAGGTCATAACTTCTTTTTCATTGAGATGTTCATTACTATAACTTATGAACCCAGGATTCATTTAAAATTCTCATGAGGAAGCATGAAATGAATGTCACCAAAAAACCGAGCTAGGTTAAACTTTTTCCAAACTCAAAGAGTGACTGATCAAAGCATTTGATTTGCGCAAATCCATTATACAGATTAAAATTATGCAGTCGATGGGATATTATAAACCCTTATTCTATTGCTTATTATGCGTATTTGAATTTTGAGGCACAGTGATGAGGCCTGACAATTGAAGCGCCACGTAAATTTATGTTCCCCACATAATCATGTAGTGGACTTGATTAAGTTTAATTTGACTTAAAACTATTTACAGTGTTCCGCACTTGAAGACTGTTATTCAGCTGCTTGCAAACATGGAAAGCAGCCAGCTCAGTTCTCTCTCTCAAGCTCATCCTCCCCAGAAGGTATAGTGACTCTGAGTCTCTGGCACATGTAGAATTTTTCATTCTCACATGATTGACAGAGTTAGACATGCACTGCCATGCTTCCAAGTTTCAGATGGGAGCATAGTTAATATTGACGGGAGAGTAAAAAAATGAAAAACTAGAAGACAATTTGTGAAGGCAATTTCACCCGAATCTTGTCATGAAAAGTATATCTACTCTTCCCTTTTTCCTTAACTTCCTACACACACAAAAGGAGAATAAAAAGAATTGTGAGATTAACTTGATTATTACCCTTGGTGCTGTTTATGACTTTTCCTTGAACCGTTTTCTCCTACAATAGGAACGTGACCCGGCAAACCGACCTAGAGGGATGGAATAATGGAAAAAACGCTCCAGGTTTTATGGCCATCTCATTGGGAGTCTCACCCTTGATCATCCAAGTTTTTTTTTTCTTTGGAAGATTTGGAAGTTACACTCGGATTATTAAGCGCCGGCTAATCGGCTACGTTCTATCTTGAGGTCTTCCTGCAGATCACAGTTTGGAGGAAAGAATTTCCTAGCTTCTAAAGTTTATGGTTGCTCATGCTCAACTGAAGAAGCTGTCGGATTCTATAACCATCACGTCCCCGAATTACCAGTTCAGTTGTAGATCATGTCCGGAAGACTGAATGATTAGGCAGCTGAAAGATGCAAGTGCATATATGTACATACGCGCAGACGTACATGTGTATTCTGCTTTTATTTATACTACAAGATAATGTCACAGAACTTTCCCCCCTTATAAACTGCGTAACACAAAGATGGGGGAATGGCAATTTGAGGCCGATATATTTATTTAATTATAATTTGGGATCAAACATTTCAAAGTTCTAATAAAGGAAAAGCTTCTCAGCAAGGAATGTCAGAAGCTGGAAGATCCGTTGCAAATGATCGTATAGCCAATAGTAAATTATGGGTGATGAATGTGAAATATTTACGCGCGCGCGCGTGTTAGTTCAGTAACTTATTTTGATCTCCCTCTCCCTCTCCCTCTCCCCCTCCCTCCCTCCCTCTCTCTCTATAACACAAGGAGTAGGCCTTGCTTAGATTAAGTTATTACATATACAAGGGTTGAGATTTAAATTTCCACCACTTGTTTTGATGATACAAGCTTCTATTATTCATGTTAATTTTAGGTAATAGTTATTTTGATATTCTATATTATCATTTTTACACTAATTTGATATGATTTGATTTGTTTAAATCATGTGAGTTCTTACTACTCATGCTACTTTTAGTTAGTAATTATTTTGATATTCTATAATATCATTATTTTTACGGCAATTTGATTTGAATAATATATATATGTGTATGTGTATGTATATAACCAATTTTCTTAATTTAATTGATTTCACTCTATAAATTCCTCTCAATTAGTTATTAGGTTGGATATTAGATGCTGAATAATCGCCTGAGCAAGAGTTTTTACAAAATTTGGACCACACCCACCACATGTCCAAAAGTCAGAACTTGAAAAAATGGACTTTTGATGTGTTCTTAATTATTGTCATTATATCATGATTAATGTTGAGACTTGTCTTCCTACGAAATTGGGTTAATTATATTATATTCCATTTTGAATGACGATAATTTTAGCATTGAAGGCGAGCTATTGCCTCGCCTCAATTTAGTACTTCTTTTGGTGAATTACAGACCTTAATATTTACTTAAGATTATCATACTAATGTATGGAAAAAATCGGTCATTATTTTTCATTTATTTTTGTTTCTTTAAAAAAGATAAGCAATTAACATTCATATTCATTAAATTATATTATCAATATTAAATGTATCTTGTTAACTAAAATTGACAAAACATTCCCATGCATTTAGCAGGGAGCCATACTAGTTATAAGTTGAAATTTATTTATCATCAATATTAATGTCATGAATATAAAAGATAAAAAAGAATCTAGCAAGATATACAACGCGTCTCCATTATATAAAAGGTAAGGTACTTTTTCCTTTGAAAAGAGTTGTACATCCTATATTAATAAATAATATATTTTTTAAATTATTTTTTAGAGGAGTAAAAATTCTTTCTATTAGTGATTTATAAATGAAGTGAGATTTTTGTTCTTCTAAAAAATAGTTTAAGAAAAAAATACTCCACTTAATAGTATAAGATGTCCAACATCTCTTGAAAGAAAGAAACTTTAAGATGTCTAACCTTTCTAAAAAAGTAAGTTAAGAGATAAATTAACGTCAAAAGACTTGTCATGTTAGCAAAAAATGGTAGGGTTAACGGATCATTAACGGAGGAAGATTTTAGCTCTTATGAAAAATTATTTAGAAGAAAATTGTCTCATTTATTAGTATAAATTGCTCAGCACTTCTAAAAAGAAGCATTAAAAAAATGTACTTTAGGTCTTATATAAATACACGAGACATCCCTTTGGAGAGGAACACAGATTTGCAGATGTATTTTAACGAATCATGCAGAATTGAATATTTACTTAATATTCAGGTAAAAAATATATTTACTTAATATTATTATATTAGAGTATGAAGAAAAATTGCAGTAATTATTTTTTCCATTTAAATTTTGGCTCTTCAATAAAGAAAGTAATTGATTTATATTCATGTTTCATGTATCACGATATCATGAATATATATGAAATTCCTGCATCACACACAATCCACGCTCCATGCATTAAAAATATAACATTAAAATGATATTAAATATAAATTAATTTTATCATTAATGATGGAAAAAAAAATTAAACAAGCATTTTATTAAAAAAATAAATGTTTTCAAGGCATGGACAACCCGTTCTCTTAGGCTTGATATGCCTTTACCTATTCTAATTTTTGGGGTGCAAATTTTTTTTTAAGATACAGAGAAAACCTTTAAGTATGGTTTGTACAACCAAAACTTGAGTTAAAATACTGATAATTTTTATAAAATGATAACTTAATTTTATCTATGATGTGTTCAAGAGACAAAGACATTGAATTTTAATAGATGGACATTGATTAATATATAAAATGAGTGATGGTGAGTGATATTTATATATGATGAAGTGACGCTTTTAAAATAATATTTTACTTAAAAGTTATAATGTATGTTGGTTCATAATTTATGTCAATCATCTTTATATTGATTCATGAACTAATGATGCACAAGATTTTATTTAATTATATTGATGTAATTTTATTATATAGAACATAAATAATTTGATATTCAAACCCATGTAAGAATTTTCAGGATATAACACATTAAAAAAGAAAAAAAAAAGAAGAGTAGAGGTTTCTAAATCCTAACTATTATTTGGCAACTTTCATTCTCATGTGGTATATGTAAGGTTGTTAAACTTGCGAGTTTAAATAAATTCACAATAGGAATGTAAACTTATATCTTAAACTTGAATCATAAACTCATAAGAGTTTACATTTATTAACAAATAGCCATAAAAATATGATTGTAATTTAATTTAAATATATTAAAAATATAAATAATAAATTCAGAGTTAAATTCACGAGTTTAATTAAATTTGTATCTAACCTGAATTTATGAGTAAATTAATATAATTTTATAAATTAAAAATATAAAAATGTTAAATTTGTAATTTGAAAACTATAGGTATATGAACCGAATATTGAAAAAGGAAAGAGGAGATGAATATGAAAGATTGAATCATTGAATAGTATTGGGGCGTGAATGAATATATTCTGGTGCACAAGCGTATGCACTGAAGAATAACAGGAACTCGGATTCGCTGTCAAGCGCCTTCCTTTTTCTCGCTTCTTTCTTGGACCCAATTTTTCGCCTCAAAAGGAAGATGCCTGACTGATCCCCACGGCCCACCAGAACGGCGCCGTAGCGGCTTTCCCTTTTCCTTCTTGACGACACGTGAGAGTCCGAATCTCGTGGAACCACATAGACCCGCCACACTTCGTCATCATCACACAGAACCAACAAACCTTCCTCTGTTCTGCTCTCTCCATACTCTTCTCTCTCGCTCCCAAGGGCCAGCACTTGCCCTAGCGTCTTCGCCGTCTAGTCATTGCTCCCGCGAATCCCATGGCTTCTTCACTCTTTCTGCCTTCTCCTCCTTCCTCCTCGTCTTCGTCTCTGGCGTTTTCTTCTTCTGCTTCTCTGTTCAACGCCACCAGTCTCCAAAATTTGGACTTTAACGAGTCTCGCTCTCGAATCTGCGCTCCATACTGTGTGGTAAATTCAATTGACGTCTGCATTATTTATTGCGTTCTTTTCACGCTTGTTGGGATTACGGGCATTGTAATTTTTTATTATTTTAATTTCGGTGTTGGTGTGTGGGAGAATGATTGGAGTTTAATGGAAACGGGAAATATGTTGGCTTTGTTTAATTCTGGTAAAAATTTGAAAAATTCAAGTACCGAGTGGAATTCAATGTTTATTGGAAATTGTCACATTAACTCTCTCTGCAATGACCCTCGCAATTCTCTTTTTCTTGTTAATCGAACTGATATAATATCGCATCAACATTAATATCCTGGACAAAACAAGTATCAGTATATATATATATATATATTTTTTTTTTTTTTCCTCCCGTTTGTACTTTTAATTGATTTTTGTCTTGAATCATGATGGGTCCGAAGGCCAATATGAAGTGGACTTGGTGTGATGATTGTTGATTTTTGTTTTTTTATTTTTTTCCGTGTAGAGATGTGACCTGTCCGAGCCATCCAATCCTTTAAATGGGAAGGCAATCATCCCTGTTCTGAACAATCGGACGCTGCCCAAGTTCTTGGAATCAGCAAGAATGGAGAAAACTGTCAATGGAAACAGCAACAGGTTGAAATTATTCTCCGGCACAGCCAATCCTGAACTTTCTAAGGTGCTTTTACTAATATCTATGTTTACCCCCATTAAGAAGTCGTGCATGGTTCGATCTTTACTGTAACTCTTAAGTACAGAATAGAAAAGCCGTCCTTTCCCTCTCTACAAATATCTGCTATTGTCATGGTACTCTTATTTCTTTTTATTGTTACTCTACTCGTCGGTAGAGCAGCTTATTCATTGAGTTAATCATGTTATAGAATTTATTTTAGAAAAAAAATGGTGTACTACGAAGTAAGCATTTTAGTAGTTATTAATAGTCATTAGTAACTGAAATTTTGCTTAGGTTCATTCTAACTTAAAGGGTTTGTCAAATGATAACATGTGTTGAGTTGCTTATTTTTCTGAAAAGGAAGATTCGGAGTACCATTGTTGGAGGTATCGCGTAGTCTCAACAATGTAATGTACTCTTAAGACTTCTACGTTTATGAATCTGGGTAACTGTCGAACTTTTGCTTTTGGCATGGGTAACAGTAAAATATATTTATTACAAACCAATTTTGCAGTGAATTTGCTAGGTGTTACTCCGGAGTTTTGTTGTTGCTAACTCTGTTCTACTTGAACTCAGGAAATTGCTTGGGACATGGGATTGGAACTCGGGAAGATTTATATTAAGCGATTTGCTGATGGAGAAATCTACGTTCAATTACAAGAGAGTGTTAGAGGATGCGATGTGTATCTTATACAGCCAACATGCCCTCCTGCAAATGAGAATCTAATGGAGCTGAAGATAATGATTGATGCTTGTCGTAGGGCATCTGCTAAAAATATTACTGCTGTGATTCCATACTTTGGATATGCGAGAGCTGATAGAAAGGCAAGTATTTTGGATATGACTGATGTAATTTTTGGAAATTAATCTAGCTGGTCTGTGAAGTAGGCAAGTAGCTAGTCAATTTCTTTCCTTTTCCTAATTTTATTCCAATGGAGAAAAGATTTGTTGTCTTTACATCTCATTGAGACGTTGCTATGTTTTTAGTAATAAATCAGGCTGGTCTGTGAAGTAGACATTGCATTAGTTGCTTGATGATGGTGCTAATTGTCTTATAAGCTGTGACAGGGAATTTGTTAATTTTTCTTCTTACTTTTTAGACTCAAGGTCGAGAATCCATTGCAGCCAAACTTGTTGCTAACCTCATTACAAAAGCTGGGGCAGATCGTGTTCTTGCCTGTGACCTTCACTCCGGGCAGTCCATGGGCTACTTTGATATTCCGTGGATCACGTACAATGCCAAGTAAGTGAATTTGAATGATTGCAGTTCTTCTCTTCACAATTACAAATTTACTAATACTTTTGTTTTGGTATCAACTAGCCCGTGATTCTTGATTATCTGGCCAGCAAGATGATAAGTTCTAATGACTTGGTGGTGGTTTCACCTGATGTTGGTGGTGTTGCAAGAGCTCGTGCTTTTGCTAAAAAATTATCTGATGCACCCTTGGCAATTGTTGACAAAAGGCGTCATGGACACAACTTAGCTGAGGTAATAATCTGAAAAATCCGTAAGTTCTGCTTCTGACTAACATGTTGGCTTAGTTTTTTTGACAATTTCTAAAGACATAACTAAAGCTTATGAGTTAGATATATAGGCATACATGTGTTGGTTGTGCTATGTTAGAGAATAATTACATCCCCCTCTTTGATGTTATTGATACCATCGATCGATAATATTGTTTTTCTCATGCTTTGATGTGCAGGTGATGAATCTGATTGGTGATGTAAAAGGAAAAGTTGCAGTTATGGTGGACGACATGATTGACACTGCAGGTGATGAATCTGAGATAGTGCATTGATGAGTTAACATTAGAGAACAAGCACTTGATAAATAAGAATATTATTAGAATATATTAAGGGTTAAGGGGCAAAAATATTAGAGAACAACCTTGGAAGTTTTCTAAAAATATATTAAGCATTAAGGGGCAAACATCGCTCCTTCTAAAAAGTAAAGGTACCCAGTGCTTCTTTGAAAAAACTTTCAGCGCATTTTTGCTCCTTAACTCATGTTAATTGAGGAAAGTATTTTTATGCTTATTTTATCCCATACATTAAGCTTATAGTGTTGTTGAAGGTTGTGTCTTGGCTGTCCTTCTTGAGAGGCATTTATGACGCTTCCTCTTTGCATTTATTGCCAATTTGACGTGCAAGTTATGTGATGGACATCAGGGACCATTGCTAAAGGTGCGGAGCTGTTACAAGAAGAGGGCGCCAGGGAAGTATATGCATGCTGCACTCATGCTGTTTTCAGGTATCGTTGTCCTTTGCAAGCTATAAATATTTGTGTACTGTTCTGCTACTGCATAAACTTGAAGAAACATCATTCATTTTTCAGTTGAACAATTTCACCTGATTTATGATCATAGCTCTAGTGAAAGCATTAGGTTGGGTTCTGAATCAGCAGTATTCATATAGTTTTTGTTTTTTTGTGCTTAATTCAATCACAGCCCTCCTGCGATCGAGAGGTTGTCGAGCGGCGTATTTCAGGAGGTGATTGTTACAAACACGCTTCCAATTGCAGAAAAGAATAACTTCCCCCAGTTAACTATTCTTTCAGTAGCAAACCTGTTGGGTGAAACTATTTGGCGTATTCATGATGATAGTTCTGTCAGTAGCATTTTTCAGTGACTGCTTGGGATCACTGCTCCGTCATAGATGATTTTATTTAATCAACACAACCCGTGTCGTTGCTTATTTAATTTCCAACTTTTTTTACTTCACTCCTAGTTGTCCCCCATTTGTTCTTCTGCTTCATCTCTTCCAGTTATGATATTGATTGCTGAAAGGTTAAAAATTAGAATCTACATGTAATTTGGTACCTAGCTCAAGCAACTAATCAAGGCAAACGAACTGATTCTCGGAAATTAGCCTTAACCAGTCGTATAACCAAACAAGATACTCATTTTTTTTATATTAAAAAAAAATGAGGAAAAAGACGATCAAATAGGTACCTAGAGTTTGTGGATGTGGCCAGAACCACATAGGAGAAAAAGAAAAACGAAAAAAATGGGAAAACAAAATGTGATTTGGATCACCTCCAACATTGCGAATAAGATATCACTGATGCAAATTCAAGAAATGTTTAACAAATAAAAATTAGTGTAATTTTTGATGCAGAAATCGACCAAAACCATAAACTATCTCTACACTTAATCTCAGTCAAAAGTTCGAAAAAGGTATAAATTATCTCTATTCTCTAGTCTAGTTATTTATAAAAAACTTGAGAAAATTATAATTAAGAAAACAAAGTGAATTATGCCTTCTATTTAGGGTCAACAGAAACCCTTCAATTATCGGATTAGTTCCTACGTCGCGTTGAACACAGTATCGAGTTGTTCTTTTTGGTCGTCCCTATCAATTTTTTCCCCCTTCAATCAATGAATATGGGATGCGTCCATGAATAAAAAACAATGGGCCTAAACCCTAGGCTCTTGGAGCCGGCTTAGAACCAATTTTCTTTTCGGCCTGATGCATGGTATAAAACCCTAATTTATATCTATAAAATGCCGCAACTCTCCACTGAACCAGAACTCGCACAGCTACTCACTAGCCGACTCCATGTCGTTCTTCTCTTTTATTGTTTTTATGTTTTATCTCTTTTTGAGTCTGTGATGAAGATGAAACAGTGCCGGAGGCGGGTCTCTTACGAGCTCGTCGCTGATGGCGCAAATATCCTCTAAGAAGTTCTGAGCTCAAGCCTTTTCTCACAGTCGCGATTGTTTTTTTTTTTTTTCAATCAATCTATATTTTCTCTCCCTGATCTAATGGTTATATTGGCGCCGATAATTTCAAAGCTCTTGGGGCTTGGTTGCAAGAGGAAGATAGAAATTCAAAAGTCTGTCAATCCACTGATGTTAGTGTGATGTGAATATTAATCCCGACAGGTTCTGATTGCATCCTGTGTCCCCTTCTTCAATCCCCCCAATTTTACTGCTTTTAGTTTTAGATGGTCGTTTTAATTGTGCGTTAGATTTGAACGTTGATGATTAAATTTAACACCTTCTATTATTTTCAATTTCTCCATGGGCGTGTGATGAATCTATCCTTTTAAATGGGTAATTTGCGTCTGAAATTTTCATTGATGCTTTATCACCTTGGAGACCTGATGCCCACGTTCTTTACCATGAATTTTCTTTTTCTTCAGCTTACTTAGAAGATGAATTTGATTTGCTTCTCTATGGCCCTGCTTATATATGTTTGAGGGAATTTAGAGTTTTTGAAAGTTCTTGTGACTGCAGGACTAAAGATTTAGCATTGCTTTGTCATGATCTATTCTATTGATTTCCATGGGAGTTGTCGGTGAAAAAAACTCAGCTGAAAAAGAATAACTCCAAATCAGAATGTAAAATGATCATAAAAACTCCAATCAGAATGGAAAATGATCATCGAAACTGTCAGTTATCCAAATTAATGCATGTATGTGAGCATGTAGGTTAATAATATTGTGGCGAACATTTAATATTTATTATAATCAATGATTTTGTTGGATGATACCAGAATTCCTTGGCCTATACTTGCAAAATAACTATAACATCTGACATTAATCATAAAAATTAGATCTGATCATGGTATTTGGAAGTTGATAATCCTTGCTCATTAGCAGGAATCCCTAAGTGTTGACAAACCTACAATTCCTCCTGATTTCACCTTCATTCCCCGTGAGGACGTTGATATTTCCCATCTTGATCATAGACTTGGCAAATGAAGCAAAGAAAAGCTTCTGGTTTGAAGCATAAGCCCACACTTGCTCTTTGATGACTCCCTCATGGTCCTGGGTGATCAAAACATTATCAGAACCCAACAATCCGTTTCCTTCGAGGATGTTTATGTAGTAATGATTATCAAACTTGGTTGGGGTTTCAAAATCCAGTGGAGCAACCTTGTGATCCCTTCCCGTAACAGGACATATGGACCGTAGAATCCTTCTGAAGGTTGTGTACCGTCTGTAACGGTCAGAGCCATGATGATATTCAGGTTTTGCCTCGTAAATCCTCTGTCGGAAGCTTGCACATCTTGCCCTTCCTATGGTGTGGCTGCCTATTATTGTCAAGCAATTTTATGTATGATTATGGGCTGCATCAAATTTTGCATATCTTCTCTGGTGCAATGAAATTTTGTTTCAGTCAGATTAGACGAATATGGATATATACCTGATAAAGCTACCAAGTCTTCCATGTCCAGACCCTTTGCTTTGAAACTGTCTATGAGAGATTCCAGGGAAGAATTGGGAGCAGGGATGAACTGGTTAGCTCCATTGAAGCTTGACTTGAGAGAATCCTTTCTTCCCAGCAGCACTTCCCATGTTGGCCCTCCTCTCTTCTCAACAAGCGACAGTGATTAAATGATTTTTCATTCCACTCAAGTCATGCTACTGTACTGGCCAATATGATCATGAAAAATGTAACACGAAATTCTAAAAAGCAGGGAATCGTACCGAGACAACAGCATCACGAGCAACCATGGCAAGGATATCAGCACAAGAAACCGTAAGAGGACATTCCTCTTCCAGCAAATACTTAATCTTGTCTATGACCTCAAATCCTCGTAGTGAATTCAGATTCGGTCCTGCCTGTTTTTCACTCGTCATGCCCTCCACGCTGTCCAGAAGTACCGATGCATCACACCCCTGGTTTCCAACAATACATAATAATTACAGAATTCTCAGGGAGACAGTAATGGTAGACACAAATAGAACTTGGAAATGGGTAGGCCCTGTCTGGAGGATATAGTTACCATGACGAAGCAATCGTGGAAATGTAAGCGAAGAAGCGAGGCTGCCAAGCGGGGATCTTTGTAGGCTGCAACCTCCACGTTGTGTCTCACGATATCCTCAGCCAAGGGGCACGTCTCCTTGTAGTAGTCGTAAACAAGAAAACCATCACCGTTCGAAGTTTTTGCGCTGTAAAAAATAGAAAGCACCATTATTAAGAGTCTCATAAGCTCCATTGAAGGGAACAATGAGTTCTCGGACCCAGATTACAGAGAAGGAGAACATCACAGGATTTTGTACTCAACGTGCGTATGCCAAGTAAGCATTGATAACTACTGAGAATGTTTTTTTTGTACCGTTTGGTAGTGTCGGTCTCATGTTTTCCAACCAAACTCGTGAGGAGAATTTATGAGCTGTTGTACGATAAAGGGTTGATACAACCAACTTGACCCAAATGTTTCCTTCTGTCAGGCTCTGATCATTTCTTTCTTTTCTTATTAGCTTCGGTAAAAATATATATATATATATATATATATATAAAATCACGACGATTTTATCCTTGGGAAGTTAAGTGGCTAGTGGCCGCCTCACCTCTCGAATCTCCTGGCGAATTCTACCTCACCCCTTCGGTAAAATCATCATGATTTCATGCTCTCTTAAGATTGATTGAATTCCTTCTATGAATCTAATCCATAGAAAAATATATAGAATTTTATTTATGATCTATGAAAACTTTGATATGTTAATTTCAAAACAGAATAAGGTTTTTAAAGTTGGAAAATCTAGTTTTTTATTTGTGAAATGAAAATTCTATTTTTATCCTTTGATCAATAGATTATTATAATCTGTGTTAACTCCAATGTCAATAGGGTTGATTGTGGCTTTTTCTTGTTGATTTTAAATTTTGATAATTTTTTTAAAAACGTATGATATCATTCTATACTAAGGAAAAGTTAAAATCTATAACATCATAACATGTGGATGCACAAGAGGCCTAGAATTTAGAAGGGACACGTCTATGTGGGTACTGGGTAGGGAAAGGTCAGAGGACGACGAAAAAACCCACAAGCAAAACATAATGAAGTTGAAGTGAAAGTGTTAGTTTATTTAAAAAGTGTCTAATTTACAGAAGGCAGACTACACTCTGAAGTTCATGGTCAAAGGGCAAAACAGGAATTAATGGGATACACAACTGATTAGATCAAAAACATAATCGTTGTCTACCAAGGAACAACGAAACAAAGAAAAGAAAGTTCATGTCATCCTATGTATACCCTGTACATTTGTTTGTTATAACTATCTCAATGACTTCTCTGTTTATCAACCTCTCAAAATGCTTGATATCCAAAGTATGCAGAAACTCCCAAAAACGATGCTTCTTTAATGCATCAATTCCCCTTCTTCATGAAGGAAGACTTCAGGATGTACTGCTGCACTGTTGACATTTAGAGCTCTTTGAAGCTTGCGATGGTCAAATATTTCAACTTCTAGAGAGAATATTGAACGAACTGGTCGATGATCTGATATCCTTATGTCTGCACGATCATATGAAAGTTGCTTTATTCCTCTTCCTAGCCACAATATTCGATCGCACCTGCATAGCGTTCATCCAGAATCACTCACTGCATGTTGCTTTGCCAATAGTATATTCACAGGATTTCAATCCATTCTTGAACTTACCATGCAGGAGATCTCCTCTTTTCTCCTTCTTTTGGGTTCTCACCAACATATCTGTCAGAGTTAATTTCGTACTTGTAAGTTGGAGGGAAGTTTATCAACCCCTCTTTCCATCCATCAAATACATGCCCAAGACGCAGTTCTTTGCTTAGCTGCAGATAAGGCATAGGAATTAGAACTTTGTCCAGCTTAACCTGTAAGCGTGTAGAATAATAGGATGGAAGAAAACAACAGAGACCACTGGCTAGTTTAGTCACTTTGGTCAACCAAGAGTCACTATCATAATCAAATGATCTTTGTGGAGTGCTTTATAAACTAAACCTTTCAATATATTCCCCGTGCTGTCAGAGAGCCAGAGAACTACTACTTGAATTCTTATCCAGACTATACAAGTTCCAAATAACGAACGGTATCATATGAAAATGTTCAAAAACGTATGTAAGGTTCAAAAATTTCCAATCCCTTCCACAACTTTAGGCTTAGTCAGATTTATTAAGCAGCAATGTTTCAAAGCAAACTGTGGGTAAATGATAAAATATAAGAGATCAGAATAAGGAATAGTCAGAGCTTAATCAGGTGAGCTTTCGAATATTTCACAAAATTGGGTTTCTAGACTCTCGCCTGATCATTATTCATCAGTTCATCCCACTTCTTCAGAGCCACCAGTTTCCTTGCATCACTGTCCAACATACTGATTCGATAATTCAAATCCCCAAACCAGAAAATCTGACTGTCATCAGAAAGCCACCATCAGTGAATGACATTTGGAATGAAAAAAAAGAGTTCATTCTGAACATAAAGCCATCAGAGTACTTAGGCATAGCAAGTCCTTTTCTTTAAATTTTATTAATTCATCAAGCCATTAAGTAGTTGGCCCTCTATTTTCTTGTCTTCTTAGAATCAAGTAGGACATTTTCCCTGCATGTCCTTTCTCCTGTCGATTTAACTTTAGCTATTTCACACTGGCCATGATTTATTTTTAATACTAAACAATTTAAATTTATTGACACATACAAACTTGAAGTTTCACAATTTTCAAACAAATTTTGCTTTTAACAATATAAGATCTTGATCTGAGAATAACGTGACAGTTAATGTTCTGATCAAGTTCTGAATTAAATGATAATTTTCATCATAAAATAATTCTTACTCATGAGATGGGATTGTTCGTGGTTGATCAGTATCAAAGACAGATGAGAAGCAGGTGCGTCGTAGAATTTCATTGACATCAGAGTTTCGCCTATGTTCAGCTCCGTCCTTTTGACCAGAAGTCAGATGGGAACAGACAAAGCACAGACGTGTTTGAAAGAGAGACATACTTACTGAAACAGACCCCTGCATCAGCGATGATTTGTTGTTACATTCACTCAGATCAGTATAAGCAAGTGTTTTCAGTAAGTGGACACAGATGGTAAGATATCTCATGCTTTCCATGCTATGATGCTCCTAGTTTACCTGAGACACTTTAAGAACACATCAAGATATGGAGAGAACTTGTGTCACAGTAAAGCAACAATATAAGTGACATAGTACCATGTAGGAAGCAAGTACCTCCACAGCAGGATACAATGCTGAGTCATAAATACATGCACTGATGATCATATTCACAACATACCTAATATAGACCTTGTCAATGCAAGTGCCACACACTACTCTTGTGATCACACAAAATTTTATGACAAACTTGCAGGCAAAGATTTCCAAATCTTGACAAGCATTCAATGTCATATCTCTAAGCCAGATCAATGCCATATTAAACGTTAAACATGCATTACCTTGTTTCCCATGTAGCCCATTAGACCAACTCCAACGGGAGAAACTTTCAAATTATTAATGCGCCTTCTCAACTTCCTTTGCACCCAAACTGATACATATATCCCTACCATCTGCTTGCTGACGATTCGAACATATCTCGGACGTGATTTCACAGTGCCCAATCCATCATCCTCTTGGTTCTTTGGTAACTCAAAGAGAGTATCATCTTCCTCGTCAGATATGTCAGATACATCAGAGTGGGAATCAATTACTTCTCTTGGCATCACTTTCTCCTCTTTCCAGATCAAGCCTAGGTTCCCATGACTGTGGTGAGAACGCTTCATCCCTTCGCCATATCTTAAAGCATTTTCCGTCCAATTAAAGCCAATTCTAGCTGAGCTGCTTAGTACTCTCCGCAATTTTGAATTGGAATCGACAGCTTGAGGGAATGCATCTAATGGGCGTTCAGGCCAGTCAAGGCTAGTCTGAAGATCAATGCCATATATTCTTCTCAAGTGTAAATTCTTTCCTATATCAATGGCCTTCTTCACTTCCTGGTATTCCAACTCATTATTTTTTAGGGTTTCTACAAACTTCTCACCCATCATATCTAATGGATTAGCATCTATATTGTCTGCTAGAACATCAGCTGCTGAGGAAGTCCTCAATACTGGAGAAGGAGGGGCACTGTAGCTTTTGATTTTGCATTCAGTTTGAGAAGATTTGTTCAGAGTTCTTCGAATGATTGCCTCCCACTTTGGGATAGGTGTATTATCCTCTGCTCCCAGTACATTGCCAGCATTCAAAGGGACTACTTCTTGGAAACTGTGAAAAAAGAGCAAGTATGGAAGCCAATAATATAGATTTTCTAAGAAAGACCAATTATACAGTCAACTCAGCCAAGTAGTGTATTAGTAGAATCTTAAAACCCATGTCTTATGTCCATGCACTAAAACAATTCAACTCTAATAGACCAGAACTCATGTCGTATGCTGCAATTCTGCAGAAAGATACAAATGTGTGGAGAGTCTGGACTGGATCAACTCTGTTCAGATAGGTAATTCTGATTGAGTTTTTTCTCAAAACCAAAAGCCATTGGCGAGACAAAATCCACAAAAAATGTCGAATTTCTTCTTTACATGGCTGGACATCTGAAAATATATAACATAAAGCAACTACACAAAAGTATCAGGGGAAATGAAAGAACAAATTAAGACGTTGATGGTACAAGCAGGACACTTGAAAGCCATACAAGTAATTAATTCATGAGTACTTAGATACATAAGGTAGAGGATTCTCTCCAGCTACAGAAGGATCCAGGTGGAAAGAGAAATGATACCAAACGAATACTGGAACAGTCTTAAAAGTATATGGCTTTTGGTCTTGAAAGACCAGATAAGTTCATATGAACCATGATAATGTAAATTAAGCATCCAGGGTACTACGATCACATTCAATATAGGCATATAGGTAAAAGATGATAGCTCTTTACTAATAAGATCACAAAAGCTTTCTTTAATTTCCAGAAAAAAGTATGAACTTTTGATTATTCAGGGAAAAATCATATAAACGGCCAAGGAGAATAATAATCTGTGAGAGGGTGGCTTGTCTTGCTGTCATACACAAGATAAATTTGATTCTGGGAAACAAAACTGTTGTGAAATAGGAAAAATTAAATACTCAACCAATTTGTGAAATTACTCACCCAATAATGTACATATCTGCAGGATCATCGGTACAAAGCCAATCATCGATCTCAAGATCTTCACTGGGAACTCTTCCAGCAACATTCCAAGTTCCAACGGTTACCCTGTAACATAACAGTTTGAAGATGCATTACTTTAATAGTTTTAAATTGACATCTCTAGTTTGCCACATCAGAGTAATCAGATTACACCAGCAAACCTTATCTCCTTCGTATCAATATACTGAACACGCAGAGTTTCTGATTTTCCTCTTCTGTGTCTTGTCTTGTAACCCTTAGAAGGCATATCTGAATAACAAAAAATCAAATAACAGAAGTTGGCAAGACACCGAACTCATGAGGTGTCAGAACTTACAAACATCAAATTATTTTAAGTTCACAACAAAATTAATCAAGCTGGTTGACTTAAATATTTATCTGGCAAACACACCAATTTGTCAGTGGAATATATTGAAGAATGCTTTATATTTATGCCAAGAAACTCCAGTCACCCTTATCAAATAATTCCTAAAATTTCTTATAAATTTCAACTCCGCTATATCATCTGAAAGGTAGGCGTGACTCGGGCGAAGTTTGAAGCCAGTTAAGAACACAATTCTTCATTGTCTACCCGAGGGTGAGAACATCGTATTGAAATTATGCAAGGCAGGCAAGCCGCTATCTTTATATATTATTGAAATTATAAGAAGCAACCATTAGAAATGATCATAAACCGAGTAAGCAATGCAAGGCAGAAGGCTTTTTTTTTTTTTTTTCTTTCCGAAAATAGGTTTCTTGTTTCTCTTCAGAAAAGGAACGGACCGTCGGGAGGAAATGAAGTATTGCCTGATGTTTGACATGAGAATTCTGATTGGATCTTTTGCATTCTATGCGAATTGTCTTCACGCATGCGCACTCTTGGTCCTTTGGCAGAGTAAGCTGCGAGAGCAATAAAGAACGAAAGGGGAAGAAGATGAAAAACGGGGCGAAAAGAAGGATCAAACTTTACGGACAGAGAGAGGGATTACAAAACCGATAGCTTACCGTCGTCCTCACTCTCGGTTTCAGTTTCCACTTCATCTTCACTGAAATCGTACACCTTCGGCTTTATATTTAACCATTTCTTCATCACGAGGGAAGGCCAAAAGGCCTGAAATAAAATTTAAGTTAGAAAGTTCACAAACAGTTGTCAAAGCCAAATTTCAAAGCATGCTAAAGGCACACCTCCGAGCGTTTTCCTTTCCTTGCTTTCATGTCTACAAAGTCAAAAGGTTACAACAGACAGAACCCCAAATCACTCATGCATTGAGGCAGAGGATCAAAGCAGAAGCTCTTAAATATGGAAGCAGTCACAGACATTTGGTAGGAACCATTTGGCAGTTAACATTTAAATAAGAGGTTTTCTCTTCCCTGATTATAACAAAACAAAGCTGGGATTATTAATTTGAACGCCCAATAGAACCAAGATCCCTCTCAGGACCCTGACAGAAAGTATGTGATCATATCAGTCAGACATCCATGACCCCAACTCGCAGACGAAATTGAATGCTATTGGTTCTCACGCATAACAACAATGATTTTATTAAAACAATTTTTGAAAGAACTAAAATGGAAGGCCAGCGACAGTGAATGTCGTTTTCGCTAGAACACTCAAACGCAGCAATTTGTCAAAAATGTGTGTTTTCTATCAGGGGAGGAAAAGACAAGATGCAGATAAATTTCTAAATGACACATTAAAAATCACTAAGAATTCGATTAAATAAAACTCCCGCACCTAAAACATAAATAAAACACAAACGGGGTACCTAAAATAATAGAAGGTACAGTATCTCAAGAAGATGCTGATTAACAGACCCAACAATTAGAACCACAAATGCTGCAAAAGATGAGAAGCTAATACATCAGCAGACACCAAACCTGATGAAGACTGACCAAGAAAAGCAACCACAAAGGACCAAACTATTCATTAATGTGCAAGATTTGCCAGTGACCCCACAACAACAAATGGGAATATGTTAGAGAGGACCATAATAAACAAAAGGGGTTGACAGTTGACGCTAAAAAAAAAAAAAAAAAAAAAAACCGGATGCTTGGCTCAAATGGGCATAGAGGCAGTGAATTACAGCAAGATATATATGTTCGGTGCTCATCAGGCTAGGGGAGATATTAGCCCACCCATTTCACCCTTATTTAATCTTTGCAGTTTATTTAAATTATTTTTTTAAATATTTTTGATATTATATTTATTAATATAAAAAAATAAAAAAAATTTAAAATTTTAATATATCTGTTTATTACCTCTGGTCAATAAAAATTTAATCCAACAGTTCAATTTAATATTAAAAAATATAATTTTATAATTTAATTATACAGAGAAACTCTGTACAATTCAGGTATAATTTAAATGACCTCATTTAATATTAAAAAATTTATAAATTTATAAATTAATTATTTAAATGTACTCTAAATAGTTCAAATTTAATATTAAAATTTTTTATATTTTTTATTTTAATAAATATAATATTAAAAATATTTAAAAAATTAATTTAAAAATAGTAGGGATCAAATAAAGCTAAAATAGAAAGTCAAGTTCTTCTGTGACTTGATAAGCACGCGGTGCTCATCACAAACTATGAGCACCAAATGCAATCCCGATATATATAGTCTACACACACACCAAGAACTGTCGTAGAGCCAGCCAATGAAAATTAACGCGGTGAACACTGATTGCTCTGATTGCTTTGTGGTTGCAAATACTGATTTGTTTTTAGATAACACAATACATAGTTTCATGCACGGAAATGAGTGATGACATGATCCGAAGAAATAGTGATCCACAAACTGGAAGAGGAGGGGGACCACAGATGTGGACCCACCCAGCGCACTATATGTGAAGGTAACAAGTTCTGGATCGTGAATTATTCAAGTCTAAACGAGAATAGAATATCCTAATTTAATTGAAGCAGGTCGGTAATTGTGTTTTCAAGAATAGGAATGTCCTGGCTCATCGATTTGAATTGAAACGAATATTATGGCCGACAACGATAACCTGAAAACGAATAAAGAATATCGACAACTTTCAGAGGAACAGCCAAGCAAAAGCGGGATCGACAACGAAAAAGAAAGAAAGGAACTTTCTTCCTCGTTAATCTTCTCGCGTGTGCCCATCTGGAAATGGGTACGGCCGCTGTACCACTTTGCAACCAGTGAGCTGCGCGCGCGTTAAAATCTAGGGAATGGATCCGATGCCGAGTCATATTTATAATTTTATTGTAAAATTTACGAGATAATTCAACATTTCAAACTTTCTGTTTCAGCCTTCAAATCTAAGCATGATTGACTCGATCGGTTGATGAGAGGCTATTAATATGATTAAATCAGTTAGATAGAACTTGTTGGAGATTGTATGATGCAGAATTAGAACATCATTCTTGATCTATCAAGAGGCTTATGAATATGCCTTTCTCATCGTACTTACAAATTTTGAGGATGGATTTAAGGAAAGTTGATAAGAATAAAGGCAGCTTCACGTGCATTAATCCTCCTCCATTGCTCTCCAACATATATAATATATTCTCATCAAGTCATCAGCCTCGGATTACATGGGTTAGCCCAAATAATCAATTATAAAAATCAAGTTGGATTAAAAAGAGATCCAAATGAAAATGAATTTTTTCTTTTTCAGACCACATAACTTATAAATTATATGGGTTAGAATTGACTTGTTTAATTTATATTATTTTAAAACAAAAAAGAACAAGAAAAAATGGGAGAATTTTGTGGATATAAATCATGTTAGATATAACTTACTTAACTGGATCAATTTATATATTTTATACAAATATTATAAATTAATATTTTGATATATTTAAAATTAATAATAAAAAAATATCAAATTAAAACTCATTATTTAAATATATTTTTTAAATTTATAAAAAATAAATTTAAAAATAAATAAATAAGTTGATGGGTTAATTCATTTAACATGCTAACCCTGAAGGGTTAGATTTTTTTAACCTATATAAAAATAGGTTAAATTCAAACAAACTCATATTTCTCTCAATCCATATTGGCCCATATTTTTACATCTAATGCTCAGTAGATGTGAGGTTTAACCAAAAGTTAGATTTTGTTATTGTAATTAATATTCTTCCTGTACCAAGATTAATTGTTTTAATGTCTACAAAATGATCAAGAAATATATATATATATATATAGATATGGAGTATATGGACCATGTTTGGACGCGCGCGCGTTGGAGCAATATTTCATCATTATAATAATACTTAATTTGTTATCGCACATGTGTGGTTCAAATAAATTTATTACTTAGCCTCAAGATATGACTTCTGAACTCAAATCGTCCACAAAAATCTATGTCACTTGAGCATTCTAACGTTTTGGTATGGGAATTTTGACTTTACAGAGAGCAGCAATATTTTGCATTTGAATTTTCTTAGGAATCTTCAACAGTGATCTGATGGGGTTGTTGTTTGAATATACAAGCATGCATGCATGCATGTTAAAAGTCAAAATTAAACCCTCCCATTGATTGCCATCAAATAATTATTTTATCTCCTATGCTTAAACAGGAATTGACGGGGAATTAATGAATAAAAAAATGTATAACACAACTCTCACGCGTTGTCAACTGAGTAATCAGAGTCTAGAGAAAGTGATGGCATAAAAAAAAAAAAAAATAGGGACATTCTGAGCAATTTCTAGGTCGACCACTTATTAAGCGACCGACTCTTTAATGGATATTTTGTATTCGAAAACATTTAATAAGAGCCATCGTGAAGTCCATGTGCGTGAACACAGAGTGTCGGATTAGGGCTTTTGAGCATCCACTTGCAGAAACAATTTCTAGAAACCGTGAGAGTCGAAAGGATTTGCTCCATATACGTAAAGTAAATAACATAGCTTCGTAGAAGTCTGTTGATCTCTAAGATTCATCCTCAGGCTATGCGTTTTACAAAATGCATTGAAGAGACTTCTATACTGATAAAACAAAGAAAAGCAGCAGCAGCAGCAATAATGACTCAAGGATCCCCTCTTGCAACGTACAGCAAGATTCCATCGAAAGAAAAAGAGAGGTACATAAAATGGAAATAAGACTTACATAAAAAAAATTTTAAGGTTGATTTATGGAGAAAGTAGACCTATTTTGTAAAGGTAGCACAGAGGCAATAAAGAATTGGCATATGTGAGGGTACTGTAGGTTGATCATTAAGCCAGCTAAGATATAATCAAACTGTGATCAAATTAATTATCAAATTTCAATTAAATACTTTTACAGAGACTTAATTTCATATGGGTTCAAAAAAGTTTTGAATTTTCAATTTAGTTCAAAAAAAAAAGTTAAGAATTTTACCGATGAAAAAACCAAAATACCCTTCACTTGTTGCATAGAATCACTAATTGTTAATTAGCTTTCTCCACTTTTTAATTTACGAATATGAGTTACAAATTATATAAGTTGACATATCAATAATTATATGAGACTTAACATCATCTTTTCAATTATGAGCAGCAATATTAATTATTAAATTATAAATTTTACTTGTTAATTTAGTAATATCAATTGTAAATCACTAATAAGTCTTATAATTTACAAAACATCACATGTAAATTATTGATAGATCTTATAATTAACAATTGAAATTAGTAAATTAATAAATAAAGTTAGTAAATTAACAATTAATGTTATTGATTGTCTAGAAAATAGATGTAATTTACAAGTAATATTGATAAATTAATAAATGTAGTAAAAAAATTAATAACCAATGATTCTGTATAACAAGTGAAGAGTATTTTGATCTCTTTACTGATAAATTTTTTTAACTTTTTTCTTTGAACTAAATTGATTTTTTTTTAAATTCACATGAAATTAAGTCTCTATAAAGATATTTAATTGAAATTCTCCCTTAAAATAATGATTCAAACTGGCCAGAAAGTTGAAAAGATTGTAGCAGATAGATGAGAATGGGTTTGCTGGCACTGCTAGCTAGTTGCTTGATCCACTGATGACTTAGACAAAACGTTCCAAACTTCAATCCTATCATCTCACGCGGTCCCCTCTTGTACCTTCATCCAAAATGTGTGGTTCACAGTAAATGCATAGAAAGTTAATAGTCAAAAATATCCTTACGTAGTGATAAAGCAATGAAAATACAACATTACAGCTAGTTCCATTCTGGTAACAAGAAATTAAATAGAAGGTACTTTGATTACAACATGACGGGGCTCCGAAGTAAGTAATGACATTATATTATTTCACTTTGTTACTACGTCTATATTATCATAATCAATCATAATGACTAAGTTAGAAGAATCAAGAATGAATATCTCCCTTCCAAAGTTGGGATGAATCACCAAAACAGCTATAAATCAACTACAGAAGCAATAGTACGTATAGCTGGATCCAAATGTATCAAACGAAAAAAAGTAGGTGTCACCAACAAAAAAGTTCCCTTGCGAACTACAATAATGCAGAATCGTACTTTGAAAACTCTCCCAATAATGTTTAGTCATTATCCATCTTAAAATAGTAAAAGATGTGGTAATATAATGCGGCAAATACAATGCGTATACTTTTATTGCTTCCCACAATCAACTACACTTAATGATCACTATATTAGATATCACATGGTTAAAAAAAATAAAAAATAAAAAACCTAACGAGTTCAATAATTCTGAACTCCAGTAAGCTTTCAATAAAAGGTCTATATATATATATATATATATATAAATAGGGTGCAGCACATAGCTAGAGAAGGACATGCACACACACTTGTGCTTTCAAATAATAATGTATTGATATCCAAAAACATCCATTTGCAGAAATTTTCCAAATCCAAAACACTGTACACGTGTGGACAATTGGACATGATAGTGGAGAATTCATACAACGTGACCTATCGATCTGTACATTATCCGATCCGATCCCCTCGTCTTTAAAATTTTCCACTTGTTTCAGGTTTTGGATCTAGCATCCTTCAAAAACACAATAATATTCAGGACAGGTATCCGACAGTGACACTGGTTCTGAGTGAATCCAAATAGAACAGCATGCCAAAAAAGATACTATACGCTAACAGAAGAGCTACTCATAGGCAGCTACACACAAGTCGCCATTATTTTAAGAAATAAAGGAACATCTTGAGCATTATTTGCGTATAAAATATAGACACACACGTATCATACAAGGGAGAGTCGAATTAAACAAACCGAAAGAGGAAATGAGTAGATGCACAATAAATTTTCTTGGAAAGATCTCATTGGTGGATCGATTTGCATTCTATCTGCGTTCGTGTCTTATCATTGGCTGGCTCCTCAGATCATTTCATTAACATTTTGTTGCCAACGACTTTATGACATGTATGCATTATATAAATAATTGAATCAATAAGAGAAGCCAAAGATTCAACCATAGATTCCAGCCACCTTAACCACCACCAATCCAACTTACTATATAGTATATATGCTTCAAATTTTGCCGCCACGCCACTCACTATCATCTTTTTTTATATATCTATTATTATCATTGTTATTATTTTCGCTTCCTTGCACTCGTTGCTGTTACTTTTATCAGGAGCCACTAACCTCTATTATTATCACTCAAACTAATACTTATTATTGTTTGGGTTAGCTCTGGGCTCCGAGTGTTTAACCCATCTGTTGTTAGTTAATTAAATAGCTTATTGAAAGGAACAATATATAGATATATAGGACCATTTGTAGCAAAGGAAATAAATAAATCGGGAGAATGACAAATAAGAACTCGTAAGAAAATGAATGTCAATTAGGATCTCCTTCTCTAATGTTTCGGTACTAAAATCTTTAAAAAATATTGATGAGGCGTATAAGATCCTTACTTGTCATTTTCCAATATTGAAATATTAATATGGTCGGGATGCTTGCTATACGTACATGGTTTTCCAAGATAAAATTAGTGTGACACGGGATGGGGATGCCTTTGGAAATAATATCTATTGTTATTTGAAAGAGGTCTTTTCCATCCTTAAGCAGAACCCAAAAAAAAAAAAAAAGAGCATGTTGAATGCCAAGTTGATGCAAAGCCAATCAAACTCGTTTAACTAATGGGAAAATCACTCTTAAGTCCTACATAAGAAATCTAAATACAAAAGGATCCCATAAAATCATAAAACTACTATGAAATCTCATTTAACTTATCGAAATTATCAATTTGCTATATATGTTGCTGGATGATTGTCAATGTAGAGTTATTCAGTTGATAATTAAGCAATAATATTTAACTATTCTTTAACAGTACTTAAAACTTCAATAAAAAATATGAAACTTTAAAGTAATTTTATAATTTTACGAGACTTTCTTGTGTTTATATTGTTTGTGTGGAAATTGAAAATGATTTTTCTTCAATTAATTAATTCACAATTTTGAGATTTATTTGCCCACGACACGCGGTTTCAACGGTAGCACACCTGACGCTATTAACATGTAGAGAATACAATTTTTTAAGAGATTGTTGAATAAAATATTTTGTATAGATGGCAAGCAAGAATCAATTTGGCAATCAAGGAGCACTGTCAACTGATAGAATTCCGCTGTGGACATCATCTCAATGCAAGAAGCTCTAGTGGTGGCTTACCCACTGTCAAATTTCAGTGGGACACTGGGACCTTCTATTTTTTTAATACCAATTAATTCAAACTGAATCAGGTCCAATCTTATAGGTTTAATTAATGGAAATGATGCGTTTTCCACCCTTAAGCGAAACAAACAAGGCATATTCAATAACAAGTTGATGCAAAGTTATCGGACTCGTTTAATTAACGGAAAAATCACTATTAAGTCCCATACAAGTAATTTAAATACAGCAAAATCTCGTAAAATAGTAAAATTATTCTGAAATTCCAAATCTTGTTACTTAAGGAAACATTTATGGCAGAAATCAAGCATGACTGAATTGCTAGCATATACATCCAGCAATAGTTTACAAAGACCCGTTGGAGAGAGAACAAATGTAAAGCATTGGCTCCCAGCAAAATGACATCATCATTATCATGATAACGACCTCATTATTCTTCCGATCCATGAACAAAAGCAACAACACAGTTTTCATATTAACACAATATTACACACCAATTGGAAAGCAAAAGTTCGTCGGGGACAGAAAAATGTTAGTTGTACACGAACTCAACAAAACAGAAAATGACTTTTCTGATGAAATTCTGGAATCAACCCCATGGGTCCACAAAAACAATCCTCCAAAGTCAATCCTCTTTGCTTTGAACTGCAATGCACGAATGTGTGATCACATGATAGTGCAGCGGCTCCTTTCTTCAGTTGGCTGTGAGTTTACTTGCTGCGATCTCTGTGGCTCTGATGGGTTATATGTAAATTCCGAAGTATCAAGTCCATACTGGATAGAGAATGGTGCCAGCATCAGAATTATTCACAATACAAATGACAAACAATGCTATCATCACTGAACAGTGAACAATATAATGATGTGTATCCATCAAGTCATTCACAATGCAATAATCAAAGGGGTCCAGGACAGGAGGACTAGGGTAGCAATGGCTCACCAATTCACAAGGTTGAACGAAAAGAGTTGAATAATTGAGTTAAAAAAAGTGGCATTGTAGAAACACTGGACATAATTCAGTTTTCGCCATTCACGAAGTAATCTAGATTGCAATAATTCATATCACTTAAAAAGTTTACCAAACAGAATGCTATATTTGGCAAATGCAGAAATGTCATAAATTAGAAAACTTGCCCCAAATTATAATGCAGAATGAATCCATGATTAAAAAAAATAATTAAAAAAAAGGGCAACTCACGGAAAATTAATTGGACAGACATGTAAAATAAAATTCTAACGTCTGCAAAGATCTTATCAACTCTCCTTGAATGGAAATTCTATAAGAGCAACCATGGAGACAAGCAGATGTCAGAATCCCATTACAGAAATAACATAAAATGAACAGCAGAGAAAAAGACAGAACCTTCTCCCTCATCCGTGCGCTCCAAGCATCATTTCTGCTTGAACGTTGGTCAAGCGTCCCTGCAATTGGTACACCTGTTGCTAGATCTGCTGGTCTGTTGAGCAATGGCTGCCGGATCTGAGGCCTAGAAGCAATGAACTCATCATCACTGTCATACTCTGCAGGCCTATTTACAGCCCTAACAATAATAGCTAACAAGAAAAGAAGGGCCTGCAATTCCAAGCACAATCCTTAGATAAACAAAAAAAAAAAGCAGAATTCCACCAAGCACCAACTAACAACTTCAAACAAAAAAAAAAAATCACAAGTATTTGTTAACACTGATGTGCATGAAAATAAATTTTTGCCGCAGCCCCTATTCTCTTTTTCAGGTGGTTGGTTAGCAAGAGAGCAGAGGTGCAGCACTAGACCAACATATGACACAAGGCATGTCACAGGAATTTACCACTCTAAAAACATCGAATTTCATGGTTGGCTGATACTGAATGATATTTGTCTATTTTGTCTATGTATGTGACTTTGCTCTCTATTTTATCTCCCCTCGTCCTGGCTTGTTTTCTTCCCTAAAGTCAAATGGTCTCAAATCAAAACAGCATTTTCTTGGTAAGAATGTTAGTGCCTAGCGACCTAAATATTAGAACTTAGTTGCTAGTCTTGAGCATACAGTTTAGGTTTAAATCCCTGAAAACCCAATATTCTTTTGTTATTGACGAATGGTTGCAAGGTATTTATAGGAAGGATGAAGGTAAGTATCAATACAACTTCATCGCCTTCTAATTTATCAAGCACAATCAAGAGCATTGCATTTTCCTGATCAGAAGTTCAGATATTCTTGCTCTGATCAACCCAATCCTAAGAGTGAAGATAATACTTCATAACTTCCAACAAAAAATTAATTATTTGGTGGCATCATAAACTAGGACTATGCAAAAGTAGACATGCTTGTCTGCATAAGAATAATATTGCTTTCCCCTAGGTGTCAACTGCATCGCTTCTTGCTTACCTCAAAGGTTAAAATTCCAAGTGCAACCCATTTTGCAACATTCCAGTTTTCTTTCAGAAATTTATATATCATATCAAAATCTCCAGTTATGTCTGCAGGAATTTCCTGAAAGTTTATAACTGTAAGATAACAAATATGTCATCTTGAATCTTAAAAAAATGGAAATGCCATTTGAATTTCAGATCATAAACTACCATTGATAACTTACTTCTTTCCAGCTTTTGTCAAAGAATATAAAGGCAGCACATCCCAGTTCAGCCAAAATCAACAGTGCTACCAAAGCTGAATACTTGGTTGGCTTAAGGAAACTGTGTGGTTAATATACTTTGTTGGCATGGGTGAAGAAGCAAGAGAAAACAGAGGTTTTCAAATCATGTTCCACACATTAGAGTTAAATTTTAAGAACCTAGCATATGTTTTTTACTATGACATAAGACATTCTATAAGGATACAAAGCTCAGGCAGCAGACATTCCTTGTCACAGCTCCAATACAACCAAAACAAGAAATGACAAAGAGAATTGCTCCAATGCCAATGAACAAGTAAATAAACCTGGCAAACATGAAACATGCAACAAGTGTTAGACAGGACTACGATAACATGGTTTGAGCTTAGTCAATTTCATTTTACAATGTAATTTGTAAAGTAACAGACATGAATCATGAATATGCTGTGTAACAAGATTTTGATTGAGAGGAGGGCATTAAAGAGTTGCAGATAGAAATTATGAAGAAAAAAGGATACTTTATGACACAAAAAGTAAAAGAACATTCATGAACTAAAAACAAAAAGGGTCCATGCATGTCCATCAAATTGCTTTAATGAAAAATGAGGACAAAATACTAGAGGATCTCCTATTGATATATTTCTGGTCTCCTGCACTAATGGATTTAGTATTTAAAACAATTATGTTAGAGGTAAATTGGTTAAATCAAACTCATATCACGCCTAACATGCTGGAAAGCGTAAATTTAAGATTTGTCTTTCCAAGCATAAGATATGGAAAGAAATCCCTAACACATAAACCATAAACCCATGAGGAAATAAGAGAGGTTTGCTCCTATGACTATCCAAGTTATATTTTGCAAGTAATTCCAGCAAAGCTAAACGGGAGTAGTTTCTAAGTACCAACCATGATTTACTTCTTAAAAGATAAAACACTAAGTGTTGCATGATTACATACTCATATTGAACAAAAATCATGCTACCTACGTATCTTATTGCAAACTAAAACAGTAAAATAGGATCATAAGGAAAGATTTGCCATCTTCCCTATAATTTGGAAGAAGTAAAAATATCCATTCCTCATTATATCGGAGAGAAAAGAGCAACATACATACCAAGCCTTGGGCAAGTTATCAAATATACTATTTGATAAAGACACCGACATTAACATGGGTCGACCAAGTTGAATCAGAGCACGATCATCACTGATAGGAGCAACAGTCAGAGTGTTGTCCTTAGCTCTTTCATATTCAACTAACAAATAGATTCCATAGCCCACAATTGCCAGACCAACAAGCGTCATCAAGAAGTTCAGAAGTCTCAAAAGGCACTCCCAGAAACCCTTACATGCCATCGTTTACCTCTAATTGTACTTCAATCCCTCGGACAGAAGACAATCAGGTGGCCGGCGTTGGATAGTTTATCAATGCCTTCTGTAGAAACCCACACTTTCATTATGCACAGGGAATATATGGAAACCATCATTGAAACGATAAGACCAACTTAGGAGAAATGCCAAACCTTTTACCCTCTCAAAAGGACAAAAAAGAACAACTTCATTGGACGTCTTACGTATTAATTCAACCCCAGGGATTCCTAAAGAGAAGAAGTTCAAACTTTCCTAATCTGAGACAAAGTGAGGTCAATTTAACATAGCAAGTCGCCCTCCCTTATCATATTGTCTTAAATCTTTTTGTTAGAGGACAAAGCACTACAAGCTATAATTCTGCGAAACACATTCTCTTCGGACCCTTTTTATGTGTGCATGTATGTATATGGTTTCTCACAATGCCCCGAATTTCCAGCCAACTCTAGCTCAGAAAATTGCGGAAGAAGTTTTGCCGATTCATTCCACGGGGAAAAGAGAACGATATAAACTTTACTGGGAAATCAAGATAATAACACATCCTGGCAGAAAGAGAGTCAAAAGAAAAAGAGAACGCAAAGTTGGAACTTGATACAAAGCAAAAGGAACTTACTTACAGAGAGAATTGAGAAATTCTAAAGATACGTATTTGCAAGCCTCTTTCCCGTTGAGATGGAATCGCAGAGAAAGAAGAGAAGCGGTGAGTGGAAAATAAGAAGTGGGGGAAAAACTAATAAAAAGGGAAAGTACGAGGCCCACCTCCGGCCTGGTTTAAACATCTTTTGCGATGTGCGATGTGCGATGTGCGATGTACAAACCGAAAATTGCAGAGTTACGTGGCCAACGCTGCCAACTGAATGACCACAATGCCCTTCTCTCTCACCACGCTAACACTTCATATTGGGGTAAATTGGATAAACAACGGGCACGGAGCCTGCGCTCGAGAAGGGCGGAACAGAAGGCGTTGCTCCACAACGGCACATCGTTTGAAGCTGGCGCGAGTTTTTCTCCACCTTTTTTAATTTTCATTATCTCTAACTTTAATTTTTTTATCTGCATACTTTTAGATATTGTGAAATTTAAGTCATTAAATTTAATTTAATAGCCTAAATACATAGTACTATTTTGTTCAGCAGAGGAGAAAATTAAACTTATGATAAGAAAAATGCTTTACCTTTGATGTTGCATTAAATGAGCAAACAGCAGCATTCTCCAGAGGTCGATTATCCTGGTTATTTTAATTATTTTCGTTTCACCACAAAATCAATTAAGCAAACCTAAAATAACCAATTTTTAACATTTCTTTCATTCTTGCAAAATTAGTCATTTACTCATGATAAAGTGTTACAAGGGTCTTTTTTAAAAAGATAAATAAAAACCTTACAAGAAAATTTACATCAAGTTATGATTTTTTTAGGAGTTTTTGTATATTATAAGACCAAACCAAATAAACAGTGAAATATTTATTATATTTTACATTATGACTGATTTATCAGATTTGTTAATAATTTGTGATTATATATATCAATAATAAATTTCTTATAAATTTTAAAATTTGTAATGATAAATCCTTTATATATCAATATAAACTAATCACACTTTTAAATTTTTTAAAATTTGGTCCATATTTAATTGGACAAGAGTTTTTTGGGTTAGTAGACTAATTTATTCATTTTTTTAATTAAAATTCAGTGTACTCTTTTTCCCATATTCCAATACTACAATCTTAAAAAAAAAACATTGATTTAAATTATCCTTTTTGCCCGAAATAAAGTGTTACGCAGCATAAGAAGACCGCGAATTAAAAAGATGTAAAAACAACACTGACTCTAACATAAAAAGTCAAAAACGAAAGTTCAGAAAAGTTCATTATTGTTGCTCTGAGTTCCCGAACACTTCCAAATGGCCGTTATACGTGTAATGTGTCTCCGATTGTCACCATTATTGTAAATATTAAAATTTGGAAAATTCTTCTTTTTTATAACTTTAGAAAATTCTTCTTACTCTGCTCTGTTAGAAAAGGGAGAAGGCTCGATGAAAAATAGAATAAAATTCCTCCGAGATTTGGGAAAAAAAATTATTTAGAGTATATTTGGTTGAAAGTTTTTGAAAGAGAGGGGATGAGAGAGAACTTGCTTCCCTTTTCTTATTTGGTTAGTATATAATAAAGACAGGAAACCCCTTATTTGATTTAAAAATTAGAGTGAAGGGGCTCTTCTAATCCTCCCCTTCAATTTAGAATTCTTTGAAGGAAAGAGAAGAGAGAGAATAATTTAAATATTTATTTTAAAAATTCTAAACTACCTTTAATATTAAAATATTATGTATTATCTTTTTTTTCTCTCTTTTTTATAATAAAACAAATTTTATTACCCTACAAAAATTTAATATATAATTTTTTAATGTAAAAATTTTTAATTTTTTTCATTAGACTCACTAATAAAGTATAATATTAATGTATTTTTTTAATTTTTTTTATTAACATAAGTTCACATTCTTAAAATAAAAAATTAATAAATTATAATGTAACAGTTTTTTTTCAAAGCAAAAAATAAAAATCAATTTAAATTTGATAGAAATAAAATTATTAACTTATTTTTTATTCCCTCCCCTCCCTTCTTAAACCAAACAAAGAGTTATTAGAATCTCTCCCCTCCTTTTATCCCCCCTTTCCTTTTCTTCTCACCCCTCTCTTCCCTCTCTATCGAACCAAACTCACCTTTGGTGAAAACATCACTGTTACTCTGTTAGTGACATTTTGTGAACAAAATAAGATAAAATAATCCCGCGGGCGGTGGGGTTTGGCTTTTTGCCGGTAGAGGATTTCATTTCGACCCCTCTGTTCTTGGATGATCCATTGTTTACATATTTGAATCATATTGATCTTATTTTGGCCATTTATACTTGGCTAATAACTTTAATAATAATCCGATGCATTTCAGACTTGTATGCTTGTTAATTCACAATTGCGGATTATGCTTCTGTTTTTTAAAATATCTTCTTACATGGCATTTATTGAATCACATTTAAACATTATCAATCAATTATTTTTTTAAAAAAATCATTTTTTACATTCATATAAATTTAAATTCAATATTTCATACTTAAATTTTAAACGATTATAATTCTTACCATCGAGATTAATACCCTTCGGGCATAGTAGCGTGTTCGTCTAGCGTTCGATCGCAAGTTCCATCTCAGTCTAAGTTTGAATTTATATTATAAACTCATGTATAATTTTTTTTATTGTGTACCAGTATTCTTCAATTAAAAATAATTATATTCGAGATAAAATCAAACACTGAATATAAATATGGTATTTTTTACGAATACCATGATATTACTTTAAACAATACTTATGTTAAGCTTTATACATTGTCATGACAATTATTCATTCACTGGTAATATATACTCCACATACCAGGAACAAATCATACTTAAAGTCGATAAAATATTGTTCATAAGCAGCATATAATTTGATTCACTTGATTCCATATACCAGCAACAAATAATTGTCTCCCATAACTTGTTTACAAAATATTTACTCCTGCATGGAAACAATAGGTCCCTTGCCGCAATAAATTTCCATACTATATATATATATATATATATATTATAGAAAATTATTAAGTAAATAAAAGGAAAAATCTCGCTTAGGGCTCCCATGGCACAAGATTTTACACTTGGAACCCAATACAATATGAAAACTCTTTGTAAACCCACGGGCTTTAAATAAAAATATATTTTAATAAAAAAAGACACATTTATCCTTGAATATTTTGTTGTCAATTATAAAATATTGTGTTAAGAATTTATAAATTATATATATTGTATTATAAATTTATGAACATTTTATTATTTTTTCATCCTATGTAACTTGTACGTTTCAAGTGAAATCATTTTTACTAAACCAGTTATATATTACATGAATTTTTTTTTTAAATTTTATGAACATTGTGTTATGCGTTTATAAACATTTTTTTTTATCCTGCACAATTTGTACATTTTAACTAAAATCATTTTCGCTGGATCAATTACACATTACAAAATATTATGCTAAAAAATTATAGATATTGTATTATGCATTTATGGATAGAGAGTGAGCAAATGCTTCTTTTCTTATTAAAACATATTTCCACTTAAGGCCTTGGGTTTGTAGGGAATGTTCAAATTGTATTGGGCCCTGAATGTAAATTTTTTGCTCTGGGAACCTAAGGTGAGATTCTCCCTAGATAAAAAATAAGCACACCATGGCTCCATGTTTATTTTATTTATAAAATGGAAAATTCACGGAAGTAAAATTTTAGCCTGTGTTTTTTTTATGTCAAAATTACTTGAAACCTCAGCATCTATCCACAGCCAGTCACACTTTTTCTTAGGTGGTCGATAATGTCCACCCGATGTATAAATCGAAAATTAAGAATAGCTAAAAGGACATTGAACATTTAATGGCTTAAATGAAACAGGATATTCGGAATCCATAATTAATCACTACCCCATCGCAAGTCACAATTAACAATCACATCCTTCCGAATTTCAACGTAGTGTTATTGGGTCCGTGACTCCATGTTCGACCCCGCATCTATCAAGAATCACCTCAAATTTACTCAAGCAAGTAGTTTAGAGTTTTAATTTAAGCATTGTGCATGTAGTAGCAATTTAATTGAAAAAAGGTATATTCATTGTTCTCAATATTTTGAAAGAAATATTATTTGCTATTGACAGGGCCTATTCTTTATACTCAAAAAAAAAAATTCACATCATGGTGCCAAAAAAAAAAAAAAGCACACACAGATGCCATGTACCATGCGACATGGATATAATAAATACTGAAATGAACATGAAGAAGTTGCATTGAGAATGTTGGTTGGGCTATCTGTGTTGGTGTCCAAATCAACATGGGTCATGGGCCCAATGACAACTAGGTTTATGTTCTTCATTATTATTATCATTATTATTACTATTTTTCTTTTTTTATGCCATAAGTTTCCTTTCTACCCACCTTAAAATAATGCGTAAAAACTTAATAAATTACTAATCTAATGTTAGAACTGTTTAAAAAATAAATTCAACTTTACACAAATGGATGTCACTGTAACTAAAAAAAGTAGTATTTTATTTGAGTTTTCCATGCCTGCCGGTTGCTGCCTGAGTTTTTTTTTTTTTGGGGTGAAATAATTGGAGTGAATATATCTCTTTTTCAAGAAATCCATTTGAAATTTCAACAATAAATTGTGATTAACACATTTTCTAGTGAGTTACTCTATCTATTAACAAATATAAGATATTTTTTAAGAGGTTGAATGTTAAAAAATACAAAATAATTTTAACATTTTAAGATATAATTAATATGCCTTTTTCAAAAATACTTTTAATGAATAAATAAATTTATATTTATTTTTATTGAAATACCTGTTAAATAAAGTTAAATATAAAAAGGTGGTATTCGTTTCAAAATAGTCAATTAATTTATTGAGAGTAAGATTTGATTTAAAACTAGCGATACACCCATGCGATGCATGAGATATTTTTTTAATTTTTTTACAAATTAATAACAAATGAAAGATAAATTGTTGTACAATATTTCTAT